TAATACTAATACCTGGACCTGCTACGTGACGAGGTTTTCACGAGTGTCTGTCCACGCGTCGACAACGTCATCATGACTTGGACGTTTAGTGGCGAGGTAGCTTCATGTGCCGATCTACTAATGGTTCTTGGTCGTACGCTCAAAAGGGCCATGCCTGTTTTCAGTGTTGCTTACATTATCCGAAATTTCCGGGCATTCTGCAAGCGTGCGGAGCAATGGGAGTGTCATTGTTACCACGGCCGTGCATGAGTGTGCACAGCACATCGGAATCTGGTTACGGCTGAACACGTTAGAGTGCATTCCACCAGTGTAATGGATTGGTAGTGGTGGTGGGGGCGGACCGTATGTTCCAGAATCGGGCTATGCCAAGGATAGGAAAATTTGTCATGTGATGCACGACAGCTTCTGCTGGGCTATTTTCCGTTCTTCAATGTGTCGCATTCTCCGCTATTCCCGCCACTGACTGCGAGTACGTGAGATGGGCGCGTTTCTACTGTTGCAGGCTGTGTGAGCCAAATACCCCTTACGTGCAGAATCCGACAGCGCCAGCGTAGCATTAGCTATCCTGATTGATGGACTCTGGGAGATGCGGCTGTTGACTAGACGGTCCACAGTGTCATTCACAGAGGTGTGCGGTTTTGTTCGAGATCACATGGACATGTCTTGGATGCACTGCTTTTCTCTCTGCACGTGAGTGGCTGCGTAGACCATGCGTCGACTTCATTTGCTGAAAACGGCACAGCAAAGGCGCTATCTTTTCCTCGCCATGGAATGTCACGTACTGGCTGCCACGGTGCAGTTTCCTGTCTTTTGTGCGGCCGTCGGAGGGCGCACGTAATTCCCCTCCGCGGCGTCGTGGATTCAGCGTGGGCTGCTGCTGGGACGCGTTAGGGTGTTAAGTGTGCAGTAGGGTGTAGGTTAGGCGTTGCGCCGGGACCACATTGTCGACGTCGTTCTCTCCGAAACACGACAGTTGGCTGGTTAAGTCTGTGCGCTATTGAGAACAATGTGGTTATGTGCCTGCTCGCCGGTACGCTTTGTTCTCGAGCGAGAGCAGACGAGAGGCCTCTGAGCAAGGACGCGGCCAACATTGCCTTAAGGGAGAGGTCCGGAGCTCGGTGACCACGCATCTTGGTGACCCTTCTGTCGGGAGTCATTATGGGGAAAGAAAAAACATCCGGCCCTAAGGAGGGGTCCTGGCCCACCGGGCCTCTTCCTTGGCTGCGTCCATCCCACCGAGACCAAATTATTGTGCCCGGGCTCGTCCTGGGCCTCGGACTGTACTCCCAACCTGATCGCCCTCAACGCAGAAGAAGCGATTCACTGTTTCACTGTTCACGGCTTCACTGTTTCGTCGGCCACTCCCTGCTGTCCGCGTCCCGCAAGTGTAGCGCCTCCGTTATTTACTGCATATTCGAGGACACCTACACACGAGGTGAAACTTTCGTACACTGCACGCTCCGCGTAGTGCAAAGCTATGTTCTGCGTGTCCACTATGCATGTGCATTTTAGGGGGCGTGAAAATGGATTGTTAGGATACCGTGTCTTGGTAGTTCCGGTGTCAACGCCCACCTCTGCATCTTCGAATGTCTCCCACACTGCTGCAGCCAATGCAGAAGCCCGTCTCATCAGTAGTACATGTGTGGCTGCAAAGTGCACTTGCCAAGTTCGTGTTATATTAATGCAGTGCATCCGCTTCTTTGAATTGGAGGCGAATTCGGTACATTCGTCGGCACTCGGCGCTCTTGCCATATAATGACCTCTCACCGCGTCACGCATCGGCCATACTCTATCGTGCCACGCGCCTAGGTTCGAGCTGAGCCGTCAAAGGCCTCACTGTTTCACGTGGTGGAAAGAGGAGTGGATACGAAGGTCCAACGTTAGAAGTTTTCTACGTTGAAAATACTTAACCTTCAGTGCACCAAGAGGTATTGGGAGAACGACATTGTCAAGCAATCATCCGAATATAGTATGAGAAAACTCGATGTTCGAAGGCAGTGTCCATGGTTACGAACAAACAAGGTAAAACAAAAATTAGCGCCCAGAAAAATAAGACAAAAGGCCAGGAAAAATGTTCCAAACTTGTGCAATTTTATAACCTGTGGGTGGGACCAGTGCGGCTTATGTGTAGCAAACTTGTGCAAATCTGTACGTCACCACGTCCAGGTCCGCCCTCTGCACGCCGCCACGTGCAGGTCCGCCCTCTGCACGCCGCCGCGTCCAGGCCCGCCCTCTGCACGTTGCTGCGCCCAGTGAGCTGGACAAAACACGGATGACTAACTTGGAAAAGTCTGTGAAGCGCTGAGAATGTACGGAATTGAAGACTGAGAATGTACTTGCCACTGTTACTGCTGTCAGCATAACAACTCACAATGCCGAAAAGATCATGAGGTGAAGGTCTTTCTCTCTGATACTAAGTACCAGAGTCCGACTTTGGTTCGGCTAAGGTCACACGTAGCTGCAGAATCAGGAGGGCCGCGATAGTCATGAAACATGGCGTGTAATAGTGGATTGAACACGCATGCTGCTGGATCCCCATCTTGAGGACCAGACGCTCAACGGGGCGTACTTGCCGATGTCACCGCCGTTCGCTCCCAGAGCCAGTCTCGACGAGGTGGTGAGCGGTGCGGCTTATGTATAACTGCACTAATTACACCATCCGCGGCCTGCGCTTGCATGCTTCAGGTCACCAGCTTAATGTAATTAATCGCGGTCGGGCCGGCTTATCGGCGTTACTTAGGCTGTGGTTGGTGACGATTTGTAAGCCAGAAATCAATACACAGGCAATGGGCTCAGACTGCGGCTGGGAACTAGCTGAAGCTGATCTCCACCTGGTGATCATACACCCTACAGGTAACTGAAGCATGTCGTGATGGTGCTGTTTTGCAGCCCACTCGTCCTTCGACATCGCAGCAGGGCGGACGTAGTTAACATATTTAATGCATACGACATCCGTGTGCCACTTGCCCGACACTTGTGTCTGCAGTCGCGCTCTCCTTCGCCGTTGACACGTGGCCCAGAGGCTGAAGCCTGGCATGGAGCGGCTGACCAGATCGGAAGGCAAGTAGTAGGTGGCACTGGACTCATTTCAGGCGCAGTGATGTGCGTTGCTAAGGGGGCCTTAAACACCGTCTTTAGCTGGGCGCCTGCTGGGAGTATCATAACTGCTCTGAATCGCGATCGGGCTGCTTACAGCCTGTGGACACAATTCTTGCGATTAGATGTGCCATGACTGCACTGTTGATATTCGGTATTTACCTACAACACGTGTGATTGGTATGTGCCTGCGGGACATATCCTGCTGGCAGTGATTATGACAGCGCTGCTGTGGCGCTTCCCTCTGCAGGCCGGCATACGCGCATTCGTGGCTCTGTGGTGACGGTTGTTGCCTGTATTCTGGGCATGTCCGGGCCCAGAATCCTGGCCGGGGCTGGCCGCGGCGGCATGTCCGCCGCGGCGGGCCGCGGCGGGGGCGCCGGCCGACCGTTGGCCGGTCACGTGACCCGCGGTCGGCCGGCCGGCCGGGCGGTCCGGTCGTCTCCTATCGGTCGGCCCTGGCCGTCGCCGTATCGCAGCCGGCGGCCGTTATCGACAGCGCCGCCGCCGCCGCCGCCGCCGCCGTCTCGCCCTGCCCTGTCCTGCACGTTGCAGCCGGCCGCCGCCGTCAGCGCTGGCCACTGCCTATGGGCAGCGGGGTGGCCGACGCCAGCTGTTGCTCCTGCACAACCGCAGAAACGGCGCTGCCACTACGGCCGTTGCACCGGCAACAGATTTGAAACTGCTTCTGTCCTCGCACACTTGAGGTATTATTAATGGGGGCTCCCAACTGGTGAAGGCGCATCCCGTTTAAGGTGACGGTTTGTGTAAATAACTGGGCGTCAATCCGTAGATTCGACAACATGATGTCTTTCCAATATGTGTGTTTTCAGCGCATGTAGGCAATGTTATTTTCGTTAGCAGCAGTTTCTTGTGTAGTTTTACCTATTTTATCAAACGGTCAGTGATGCATTCCCCTCATGTACGTTATGATATTCTTGACTATCAAATGATGCCCAAAAAGGCACCCGTTACTAGCTTTTACTTCAGCTATTCACCTTTTCTCCATCTTTATAACATTCTAGCAAAAATACTAAAAACTCAAACCAATATAAAACTCGGGCCAAGCTCAGTATTGAGGTCCAGGGCCTTCCTAAAATAATACAAATCAACCTCTTTGGGTGGAACCTCACTAGAGTTGCGGATGGGGTCCAAGTCGGTTTCTAAATCAGCGCTTCCCATGCGACGCCTTAGGTGCAACGTTAGATGGTTTCAATGGTTGGAGGGCATCTTCCTAGTCCCGGAGCCGCCGCTGCTGCGTTGTGGAGAGTCATGCCAATCGACGCAACTTACGTGATTTGCAATGCTACATTCGGAGGAGGAGGTCCGTTCTCCAAACGCCCTGATGTTGCAAAGCGTTAGCTGATCCCACGGCGATGCGGAAAGCCGCCGTCATCATGTGAAAACACAGTCGGTCAAATATGGGCCTCGTTTCGTATATCTGACATATATATTTCTGCTCCACGCACAGCCCTTTACCATGGCATCCGATGGGCGTCGCTCGTGGTCGCGCCGACAGTACATCTGTTGAGCCGCCTGGCTGCCGCGTGCAAGCGCAGGACACATTCCGGGTGCCCAGAGAGCGTCCTCTAACCCCTGACGGCTTCGTCGCCCACCTGGCGTGGCCGGTCACAGTGCCCCCGCCCGGCCCGCTGGCCGGGAGGACCTCACGCCGGGCGTCGGCCGGCCGCTGGCGTCGGCGACACCCGGCGCCCGGCCCGCCGGGCTGTGGGAACTGGAGTGGCGGGCGCTGGCCAGGCTGGACAGCGCCGCCGGCCTGCCGCACGCTGTTCCCGTTTCCGCGGTGTGTCGCACTAAGTGGCTTATTCGGGGTTAGTGTGTCTCCTGCCGCGTCGGCGGCGCCCCTAACGTCGGCGTATCAGTGGCGGCCGAGCGCGGGCGGGCGTCGATCGCCGCTGTCCGCTCCGGCGGCGCGCGCCACCACCCTCTGCCCTCCGTGCGCGTCTGTGCGTTGTGCTCAGGCCTGGTCGGATGGATTGGGGGAGGTAAGGAGGACTGTGCGTTGGCCTGGTGGCATCGTGGTGCAAGAGCAGATTAGCTGGATGTGGAAGTGTTGTCTGGCCATACACATCACGCCAGTGAACCTTTTTCACTGCATAAGATGCAGTCGCGCTGTCAACGGTATAACGACTGGGCAACGCTGGACATCATGCAGCAAGTCGCCAGATGTGGGGCATCAATACCTGCTTGTCCGTGGTCATGCCAATCGCCCGGCGAAATCAGCGCGGGGGCGAGTGGAAAGTGAATTGACGGCATCGCGCGCGCCGCCGGACTTTCTCGCTGCGCGCCGCAGTCGTCACCGGTGAGGGCACGTGTTCGGCCAGAACGGCCGGCGATCATACGTCCGGCGAGAGTGTCGAGTGCCGTCCGTCCGGTCCGGCTCCGTCCGGACCTCCGGAGTGGCCGACTGACTGACAAAGAGGGCGAGCGGCTGCCGGAGCTGAGACTGGACCGACGGAACAGCCGAACGCTGGGCGTCTGCCTCTGGACGCTGCGTTCCTGGCTTGACTTGAACTTGGACCACCGGAGTAGCCAACCGCTCGGCGCCTGATGTCTCCGACGGCCCCGACCGGATCCGGACAACCAGCGCAGCTCGGCACCGGCACGCATCAGCCGCGCCCAAAGGAGAGCGAGAAGTTGTCGAGGGTGCACCCGACAGCAGTCAGAGAGTGAGCAGGAGCCCTGCAACAGATGGGCTGAACGTCAGACGTTCGCTAGACCGGGCCGGTCAGGAGACGGCTAGGAGATTGTCAGGAGGTGGCCAGGAGGCGGACAGGCGCCGAGGGATGCCGCTCGTCTCCGGACTGCTGCTGTGGCGGCCGCGGCGCAGGGCGCGCGGCCCCTCCCTTTGTGCAGGCCTGTTCGCGGCTCGACGCCAGCGCGCGGCGGTGCCCGTCCAGCGCAGCGTGCCCCGCATCGTCATCACAGTGCGCCGCCAGAACGAAGGAGACGTGCAGGGCGAGGTGGACGAGCTGACGGAACGCGAGCTGGCGCTGTGTCGCCGGCCGGACGAGCCGGACGAGCCGCCGGTCAGAGCTGGCAGCGGTGATGGCGGCGGACACCTCACGTTCTCGCCGAGTGGTGTTACCAGCCGACCGATCAACGCCGCGCGGCATGAACCGGCGCTTGCCGTCGCGCCCGGACCGCCAGCCAGCCCCGAAGAGCCCGTGTGCGCACCGGGGAGCGCGTGCACCAGGTCAAATCGGCGGAGGAGCGGCGGAGTGAGCGACCCAGACGGCTCGGGCGCGCACCCGCTGACCTCCGCCGAGTTCTCGACCGGCGGTGGACTGCGTCCGCCAAACAGCCACGACAACCAGCCCGAGAGAGCCGCTCGTCGGCCGCGCGTCGACGCCGGCGGCGCCGCGTCGCCTGCATCGAGTCTGCGCCAGCTGTGGCTGGCCGGCGGCGGCGGCGCCGGTCCGGCCACATGTGCTCTGCTGGCCCGCATCGCCATCGTGTGCCAAACGGACCTGGAGGAGCGGGCGCCGTGGGGCCGCCGTCTCGGCAGCGACGTCTCCTCCGAGAGCGCGTTGTCTTCGCCGGAGCTGCGCAGGGACACGGAGTCAGAGCCCGGCACCGACAGTGAGTCGGCTAGACAAAGGATCACATACATACATACACGAGAATCTGACTGACAAAGAGTACGATTTGATGGAGCCGGGCACAGACAGCAGCCGTCCGCACTCTGCAGTATCTAATGTACTGGGACAGTAGCATCCGTCTCAGTACATTAGAGGCGGATGCTACTGCAGCCCGATGTCACCAGCAGGGGCCGACACTCTCAAGCATGTCACAAGTGTAAAAATATGTCAAATTCAGTCGTCATAGCTCACATCCCTGTCATACGCCACTCCACGGTAATCTCCGTCCTCCCGGTGTGCCGGTCCGGTGTGGCCTCAGTCTTCCCGGCGTGCCGGTCCGGTGTGATCTCAATTCTCCCGGCGCGCGGGTCCGGTGTGGGCCTCCGTCCTCCCGGCGTGCCGGTCCGGTGTGGTCTCCGTCCTCCCGGCGTGCCGGTCCGGTGTGGCCTCCGTCCTCCCGGTGTGCCGGCCCGGTGGTGTCTCTGTCCTCCCGGCGTGCCGGTCAGGTGTAGTCTCCGTCCTCCCGGCGCTCCGGTCCGGTGCCGCCGGCCACTGCCGGACCGGTCTCGAGACGCCGCCAAAACAGGTTTTACTACACATTCCTCTGCGCGCCGTGCGCCCGCCGCCGTGGTCCCCAACCCTGGCGCGACGCGAGCAAGTGTTGAGCGCCACTGGTGGTCGGGCTGGCTACCGTTGCCTGGCCTGGCTGTCCCGCGGCCGCCGCCGGCCCGCCAGGTGCTGCTGCCGCCCAGTCTGGGCCCATTGACCGCGGCGGTGGGGGCGGCTGGGGGCCGTGGCGGCGGACAGTGTCAGTGAGCGATGACGAGCCGAAGTTGCCGGTGTCGCGGAGCGGCCAGAGCCAACGCCAGACCCAGATGCTGATCACCCGAGTGTTCGGCGTGCAGCGACGCCGAGATGAAGGGTTGTCTTCGCAGAGGGCTGGATTGAACCGCGTCGTCTTTCCGCCCCACGTGCTTGCGAGTGCCTCTCAGGGTGAGTGCGGGGCGGAGGGGAGCCGGGACGTGAGCGTCTCGTCTGGCTGCCACTGCTGTCGTGCGCCGGAGGCACCACACGTCATCGTGGCGTCTGTTGACGGCTGAGTCCGTCACTCGGTCACGTGCTGGTCTACCGGCCGCCAACGATCTGAGCTGACCCGCTAACAGACGGCTGGACCAGACTGACAGCCGTCGGCAGCCGACAGCGGCCAGACCGGGCTGGCTGCTGTCGGCAGCCGTTAGCGACTGGGCCGGACTGGCAGCCTTCGGCAGCCGTTAGCGGCTGTGCCAGACTGGCAGCCTTCTTCGGCAGCCGTTAACGGCTGTGCCAGACTGGCAGCCGTCAGCAGCCGTTAGCGGCTGGCCCAGACTGGCAGCCGTCGGCAGCCGTTAGCGGTGCGCGTCAGCGGTGATTCGGGGAACTGACCACCGCTGGATAAATATTTAGAACTGGCGGTTAATTATGAAGAACACTTTGGTTACACGAGTGAATAAATCAGTCGGAGTTTGCATTCGTTAGCTGCACATTTCAAACGAACGCGTAACTGTGTCAAATATTTTTTTTTTCAGACGCACAACCCGGTGCTTGCGAGCGCCGATCACCCGAGAGAGCCTGGTTTCAATTGTTTGGAAAATGTCGGAGCTGAGGCACGATTGACTCCGCTTCCTCCAGTATCCCTCTGATTATATTCCGATCCCTCTGATTATATTCCGCCGACCCAGCTTGGCTCAATCCCGCCAGCAGGTACACGGACACTTAAATGCGCCCTTGTACACTTACAAGCATATGGATCGTTTCCCACACCGCTGCATTGAAGGTAATTTGTGAACAATGTTTACGATTGTAGCATAAACTGAGACCATGTAAGACGGGATTTAGTTGATGTGAATAGTCATCATGCTGTTGAAGCAACACTTCCTTGCCTGGTCAGGTACTGCAACACTCTGACCAACAGGACCAATACAATCGCTGAGTAGCGTGGTCCTGGCAGTCGCCGACTAGAAGCCAACATTCTTTAGAAAAAAGGGAAAAATGTTATGCTTGCAAGTGCACTGTTTGTGCCAAAACGCGAGCAATTTGCGGGCAAAAACTTTGAGCAATGAAAGAGACTTTGGCATTAGTCCAACAAAGGGTGAGCCGAATCGCATACATCGTGAAATCGTTACAGCGTGGAACTGAACCGTGGTACCAGCTGCAAAGACGGCACCATCAGCGACGGACGGGTGTGGGCGGTGGGTGGCACGCGCCCTGTCGTGCGGTGTGGCCGGTCGCGGGCACGCCGTGCGGCCTATCGCTGGTGATTGAGCCGACGCCACTCGTGCGATAGGGCGTATGTTTACGGAGGGGTTGACGCCGGCCCACAGCGAGCAGCCGGTGCACTTGAATCCTGCTGCAGTCCGGCACAGCCAGACTTGAGTCCCCGCACAGCGCAGGTCTAGTGGCCGCCGAGGCGGCAGCTTAGACTGACACCATCCCCTGTGCTGAGCACCCTAATATGACTGAATGAGATAATTGTTTCAACGAAGAGAAGGGATGAAAAACTGATCAGACCACAAAGGAAGGGCCTGGTCAAATTAGTCGACTTTAACAACCATCCAGGGAAGGCGGCAGTGCTGGTTTCCATGGACATTCCCGCCGGTTAGCGCGTGCTGTGGACGGCGGCCCGCTGTAAACCTTTGGCATCCCGGAGTGGGCACCGCAGGGTGTGCCCGGACACGCCTGCTCAGCACCCTACCCTCCAACAGCGTCCGTCTCTGGACCCGGCGTGGTCACCGCGGGGTGTGCCTGGGCACGCCTGCTCAGCACCCCACTCTTTAACGGCGTCCGTCTCTGGACCCGGGCAGCCCGGCCAACACGCCGCGGCCGCGCCGTCAGATCTGCTCCGCCCGCCGGCCTTGCGTGTGCGGACGGCTCAGGGCGGTGTCGGGCTCCGGGGCTCCGCTCTGTGGGGCCTCTGGTGAGCCCGGCTTGGCTCGGGGAGGCGGGGCGCTGCGGCCCACAACTCTCCGGCGGTCGGCCTGATCCCGCCGAGCCCGCTGGCGTTGCTGAGGGGATGTTCCCAGCGCGGCATTTGCTCCGCTTGTGTTCCAGCTTTGCCTTGGCTGGTACTGCGGTGTATTGGAGCTGACGGTGTGATTTTCGGATCAGCGTCAGTCACTATGCACGGATCTGGCGCTGAGCCGAGCTTGTTTTTGATGCCTGCGAAATGCCAACCAACAAGCGGCATGTTTCGTGTTGTTGGCAGACTCGCTGACCGGTGACCTGAGGTCATACCTGAGCAGCCGGTTTCCGAAGGGCTCGGTGGACCACGAGCTTCAGAACACCATCCGGGATCACCTGTACCTGCGCACTGTACCCGTCACCACTAGACCTCCGCGCGAGGGGGAGGTGAGTACCGCGGACGGCTGTGCCTGTGAACTGTACCGGTCACCACTAGACCTCCGTGCGAGGGGGAGGTGAGTACTGCGGACGGCTGTACCTATAAACTGTGCGCGTGGCAACCCGACACCTCGACAAGAGGAATCTAGCGGTATGGTCACCTGTGCTTGTTTTCTATGATGGTCTCCACCAGCCGCCGAGAGGGTGTCAGGCAGTTAAGTGCTGTACCCACTACACATGTGCAATACACCCATCACCCCGACCCTTCGGGAAGATAAGAGCAGCACATTTGAGACACACCCCTGACACTGTGCACTTGTCTACTGTACCCGTCTCCAATCTTCAACCTGTGTTTGCCCCGCTGGTTACCGTAAGGCATGCTATGCATTTTTACATCGGCGTCCCATGCGAAGCCTGTATTTTTGTCTGACGGTACCTCTACTTGCGCTGCTTTCAGGTTCCGGGCGTTGATTATACGTTTCTTAGTGTAGAAGAGTTCAGAGACTTGGAGAGATCCGGCAATCTTCTAGAGAGCGGAGTGTACGAAGGTGAGGCATAGCTTCTAGAGAGCGGAGTGTACGAAGGTGAGGCATAGCTTCTAGAGAGTGGAGGGCACGAAGGTAAGGCATAGCTTCTGACCTGAGTGCTTCCATCCACGGACTAGCGTTGTGTTGACGCATGGTGGCGCGTTTGGCCTGCCGCAGAAACTGTCAACGACTTGAGGTGACACGCGAGGAATATTTTGAGTGAGTCGCGGCACATGCTATGCTGGGGTCAGGTGCAGCCTGCTGGTGGATGGTGCATGCTTTAACAATAACATCCCGAACAAAGCAAGCTCTCGCCACATTTTGCCTCCTTTTATACCTTTCACTTCTACTTTGATCACTGGTCCATCCGCATGAGGCTCCATTGTCCCTTCCTTCTTAACGCCTACCCACTACTAACGTCGGAGCATGATCGTTTTGGTGGCTGGTTTTAGGCACGTTCTACGGCACGCCGGTACCGCCCACGCCGGAACGGGCCGCAACGCCTCTTTTCGTCGCCGTCCCTAACGAGGACAGCGCCGCCGCCGGCGCCGGCGCCGGCGGGAGACAGCCGGCTGGTGTCAGGGGTGGCGGCCGAGAGCGGCGCGGCGGGGCCAGTCGTCGCCCTCCGCCGGCGGCCATGTCGAACGTCCGGCCGCGCCGCGGCGGCCACGTCAAACTGTCGTGGTCGCAAGTGCCGCTCAACGTGGGCCGCGTGCGGGCCATTGCGCCCAGCTCGAGCAGCGAGCGTGCCTCGCGCCGCTCCTCGGTCGCGTCCTCCCTGGACTCGGACCGGCCGGTGGCACCCCAGGCAAGGCACCGGTCTGGCGGCCACCAGCCTGCAGCGGCGGGTCGTCGTGTCGCCGCGCCAGCCGCTGACGAGGCGCCCGCGCGGAAGGCGACCGCGCCCTTTGACGTTCTCTCCAGCAGCAGCGCCTCCGAGAGAGGGGCTGTCGCAGCAGGTGGAGAGGCGGCGGCCGGCCATGTGGACAACATCTGCCAGTGCCGAGACTGCCGGACGTGGCGGCGCCTGTGCGCCGTGGATGGTCGGCAGGGCGAGCGGCCGGTGCCGCCGTGCAGCGAGCACAAACAGCCCTGCCGCTGCCAGCAGTGTCTGGCGAGTATCTACGCGCACCACCAGCTGCTCATCTGGAGGAAGCTGGGCCTGGCCGGGGTCGGCGGCACCGGCCTGGACAGGAGGCAGTCCGGCAGTGAGCCAGCTAAGTCCGTCGGTCGGAGGACGGCTTCCGGATCAAGTTCTGGTCAAATGACTGGAGCCGACAACCCTGCGCTGGAGCGGCATTCACACAGCAGCCAGGCTCGGCCGGCCGCGGAGGACGGCTGCTGCGCAGACCGTGAGACCTCAGTGAAGCGCTACATCCCGAACGAAGAAGAGGTGGAGAGGGACGGGACCCCTGCGACGGATGGCGCGGCTGCGGCGCCCGACGGCGAGAGTAATCTGGCGAGGACGCTCTCTCTTCCCAACGAGCTAGAACTGGCTGCCGACAGAGACCACCGGAAGACAGCAGCGACCAGGAGACCAGGCGCGAAGGCCCTGGCCTCTTCCAGAAAGCGGCTTGCTAAACTGTGGCGGAAGGTGTCCTTCTCTCGAGAGGGTGAGAAGGAGACCGGTGCGAGCCGCGCGGACCGCAGCGGCTCACTGGAAGCACCGGACATCCTTCCGTCTTCTGTTCGAGGTGTCGCGGCTGGGCTGAGCCGCTCTTATTCGGCGGATAGTGTGTTCGTGGCAAACCCGGTCAGCGATGCAGCAGCGAAACGCGGCCAATCACGAGACTCGGCGAGCAGCACCACCGCTAAGCACGGCCAATCACTGGCCGCCTCGGCCACATACCGCCGAGCGCCCCCTTCGCTGAGCTCCGGCGTGATTGCTAACAGCGACGCGTCCTTCACCTCCGACTCGTCGGTAGCCTCGTCGAGCTCAGGTGTCCGGGTGCGCACATTCCCCCCGCAGCGTGTGCTGGGCCCGCTGCCGGGGTCGCGACCGTGGCGCAGCGCCTCGCATGGGGACCTCTCAGTCCACGATCACGCCGGAAACGGCGCGCTGCATCGCCACCAGCCCGTGTTTCAGTCGGTACATGACCTTCGTCGGGACATCCCCATCGATCGACTCGACTACGAGTTCCAGGCGAAGAACAGCACGTTCGTGCCAGTGTGGCCGGTGGCGTTCCGTCCGTCGGCTCGGAGCGCTGAACACAGCCGCCCACTGGCGCCAGCGCCGGCCGGTGGGTTCGACTTGCAGGGTATGGCCGGGTGTGCGGGGGGCCGGCGGGCGGCGCGGCAGCGGGCCGCGGACCGGGCGGCGGCGCGGCGGAGGCACGCCTCCGACGGCGAGCGGGGCGCCTCCCGCTCCCGCTCACGCTCACGCTCCCGCTCCAGCAGCCCAGCCGGCTCAGTGCGGCTGCTGCGCGGGTCCCAGAATGGCGCGGAGCGGCGGAGTATCGGTTCAGGCGATCAGCGGCGTAGCAGCGAGCCGCGGGAGCTTCTGCCGCACAACGATCCAGAGACAGCAGGACGGCGCAGTAACGTGGCAGACCAGCGACACGCCGCTGAGCCGGACGAGCGGCGAACGGGCGTTGAGCCGGCAGCTCGATCGACTGTGGAGCGGGGAGAGCAGCATCATCATCAGCATCAGCAGCGAGCAGATGGATCTCCTGGTGAGCAGCGGGTGTCGCCAGGCCCTGGCGGGCCGGGCAGCTTCGACAATCGCCGGCAGAGGATCCGCCAGCACTGGCAGCAGTACCTAGACCGGACGGTGAAGGAGCGCCGCGGAGCCGCCTCGACGGCCGCCACGGAGAGCCCCGTCCCGCTGCCACGGCGGAGCGGCCAGCGCAAGCCGGAACACGGTAGGTGCTGCAGTATATGCTAATACAGCACATCCGCGGCATCTTTTTCTTTAAGTGCTTAGGGGGGAGGGAATTACAAACATCCACCTTTAGTGACGCGCAAACTCTATAAGTGGTATGCCGTCGCGTGTCATTACCTGAATGATGTGTTCTGTTTGAAATACCGCTACATGCCTATCACCAATGGACCGCGTCGCCGGTATCGATATTTGCTGCATGTTTTAACCGGGTGTTGGGTGCTAGCACGCCATGAACCAGCCTGCATTTGATTTACATGGGCGCTGCATGCTGACTTAACTTACAAACCACTAGCCATGAACCATTATTAGCATGAATCGCAGAATCGTCTATGTTGGGTATCCTCCCCAGATATTCTTGCGCGTTATCAGGCCTGTGAAGGCTATTTCAAATGCAGCATTTGTGTGTCAATCGCACCTTGAAAAAGGTGTAGTGCTGTCGATCTTCACTCCATCCAGTCGCTTTGTACCGACAGTATCAGTGTTTGGTATTGGTTCGGCACCTCGGCCTAGCATGCTTAATCTGTTTTGAGTGGGTGGCCGTATATGCTCAGTGCAGGCCATGGAGCCCGCTCGGTGTTTGTCCGAGTGGCGACGCTGGTGGCGGCCCTCTGCGGCACCCGGGGCCCGGGTGACAACGCTCGCCGCGCGCCCCAGGTCACCGCTATGGCACGCCGCGGCCAGCGTCGGAGCCGGCGCCGGCGAGGCCGAGCGTGAGCGACGACACACTGCTGCCAGGCCAGCACCCGAGCGCCGAGGGCAAGCGGCGACGGAACCGCTCCACCGAGGCGGCCATGGCGGCGCAGGGCGCACTGCCGGCCGCCTACCAGGGTACGCGGCGGCCCGGCCGTGGCTGGGGCGGCCCGGGCAGACGCGCCCCTCAGGCCGACGAGACGCTGGCTACAGGCCGCACCAGGCGGCAGTGCGCCTGCCTGCTGCGCAACAGCGTACATCTGATGGAGAGGCTGCAGGCACTCTGAAGCTACCGTAGAGCCTACGTCTTGCTCTGGGGCAACTGTAGATCAGTGTGGTCGACTGTCCTAAGTCCGCTCTATGGCCTCTAGCCACGTTCGCAGCCGGAGCAGAGCTATTTAGAGCTGCTGTGACGGCCAGTAGCTGGGCAGGGGTAGACATGGTGGCGTCGACGAGCCGTCCTGAGCCGAAACCCGTCTGAGTGGTCGGCGGTGTGACTGCCTGCAGCGCCAGAGTACCGGTCTGCGCCGGCCCACGCCAGTCGACCGGAGACCAACGGCTGGGAGGGCCCGGAGCCGGCCTGGCAGTCGACTGAGCCGGCGGCCTCCTCCGACCTGGGCCCGCTGCCCGACGGCTGGCAGAAGGCCTACACAGAGCGCGGCGAGAGATACTTCATCAAGTGGGTGATCAACGACACACAGCTCACCCCAGCTCACCCGCGCTCTCTTTCTCGGATTGGAATCTTGTTTCGTATGGCTATGCTGTTAGACTCATGGGTGCGTCCAGCATGGGGTGGTGGTAGGAACCAAAACTCGCTTCTTGAACGAATCCATAATTAGCTGCCGGCTGCACTACAGTTAGGGTGGTGCAAACATTAGCTGCCGGCTGCGCTACAGTTAGGGTGGTGCAAACTTCTGCCGGCTGCACCACAGTTAGGCTGGTGCAAACTTCTGCTGGCTGCATTACAGTCAGGCTGGTGCAAACTTCTGCCGGCTGCACCACAGTTAGGGTGGTGCAGGTGGTGCAAACTTTGAACTGTCCGTCATTTTCGCGGTCATGGTCCTTTGACCCATTCCGGCTGCTTGCGATGCTCTTGGCCTGGTCAGCACACATGTTTTGTGGGTAATTCACCGGTGATGTCTAACGTTGACTAACACCAAGCCCTGTTTGCGATGCCGAATGCTTCAAAAGAAATTAGATGCCCTGTCAGATTTCATGCGTATTACCGCAACATGAAAACTTGATTCTGTGCGTGCTTCGCTTGGTTTACAAAAAAATGCAGATCACATCTGGCTCATTGCCAGCAATTTTAGTCCATTTGTACCGCAGCTGAGAATGCCTGAACCAACCTACACGGGGTCGTCCACACATCCCTTTACGTTTTGAAGCATGCTCCTTGGAGGCCTCCTTACAGGGGGGGGGGGGGGGGGGTAACGGAGTGTAACCAGGGAGTGAGGGGAGGTCGGGCACAGCACATCGTTATGAGGGGGAGGGGGTAGTAACGGACGTGGAAGCAGGGAGTGAAGGGAGGTCGGGCACAGCGTAACGTTGCGCTCTCGCGTGGCTTACAAGTTATGTTTGGGCTCCTCTCATAAGAAGGAATACGCCTCTTGTTTGTTTTACATTTCTAGCTCAATTAAGGGCGTATCGGATGTTACCATTTCAGTACTTCACGCTAAACACGGTGTAACAGGGCAGGAGGCTCATCCAAGCTAGTCAATGTGTAACCAGGACGAGATGGTGTTGAAAATGGCAAAAGAGTGTACGCAGTTTATGGGCGGCATAACTGCCGCTGAGATGGGAAACCTGTTACAACAACGCTGTAGCTGGAAAAATCAGATGTTTGAAATGAGTCACGAAAGCACTATTGTCTGCTTGGTTTTCATTTTGCTCGTTAGTGCTGACTAGTGATTTATACATTCGCATGCGTTTCGTGTTCAGTAGTGTTTCACATGCCATGAACGTGATTCTGTAAACTGCTGGTAGCATAGTTAAAACTCACCCAAGTGCATTACGAACTGGAACGTACTGCCTGCGACTTTACTCGTGCTAAGACACACACCGTCTTCCACACGGTGGAAATGTTTTCCCGTAATCGTGCACTGAACCCCTGAGATGTGCCGCTGCGTGGTGCACGTAAGGTCCGCCGGACTGTGGTGGACAGCCGCGTCCTGTCCGACTAACACCTCGCCCACTTAACACAGCCACGAGACGGGCACGTCCCACTGGCTGGATCCCCGGCTAGCGCGCGTGCAGAAGAAGTCGCTGGCCGAATGTGAGGACCACGAGCTTCCCTACGGTTGGGAGCGCATTGACGACGTCACCTACGGCACGTACTACATCGACCACGTCAACCGGCGCACCCAGTACGAGAACCCGGTGCACGAGGCCAAGCGGCGGCTGCAGCAGGACCGGGGCGGTAGGTGTGACCAGGCCCGCAGACGAGGGCAGCAGCTCTCGGCTGCGCTCACATTCTGCCTGTCTCCTTGGATATCACCCGGTGTTGGTCAGGTGTCACCAGGCCCGCAGACGAGGGCAGCAGCTCTCGGCTGCGCTCACATTCTGCCTGTCTCCTTGGATATCACCCAGTGTTGGTCTCACTGATGGCCTCTGTCGCTACTTGTTAAGGCCGCCACTGTTCCATTCACTGGCACGGCTGTTCGTTGATACCGCCCGCCAGTCCTAACTGCTGACGGAATGCTGTTTTTTCGCTTTTGCTCCCGCCCATTATCGCGACTGTTGCCGACCGTTGTTCGTGCGGTATCTGCGGTATTATATGTAATGCATCTGCAGCAAAGTGTCTGCAACGTCCTTGAGCATGCCTCTGTGGTGCCTGCAGCAGCCGTTGCCTCTGTGGTGCCTGCTGCAGCCGTTGTCATCTCCGTTTCAGTCGACACCGGGCCGTCTCGGCCAGACGGCGCGGCCGGCGCCAGCGAGAGCAGCACCTTGCCGCGTCAGAAGCGGCCTCAGGAGGCCCAGCTGTCGGCCGAGGGCTCGGATGGCTCACCAGAGTCCGGCGGCGCCTCCCAGCCGGCCCGGCGCGGCAGCAGTGAGTGGCCGCAGGGCAGCGGCCAGCGTCGCCAAGCGGCAGGTATCATCCCGCTCTGTTCCGTTGCACTCTCATGGTGCACTCTCTCTGTGCCGGTGCACTCTCACGTATGGGCTCTCTTGCATCGCGCATGGTTCTCGCTGTCTTGTCTGTTTGGTCTGAGGGCTCTGTGTTTCGGTTGCTTGCCCGGTCTGTGCCGTTACTGGCGTTCTCGTTTGCCGTGTGGAGTTTGCGTTTGCATCGTCATAGCTATTTTGGTCTGGTTTGTGTGGTCTGATTTCGTTTCGGCCCGTCTGTTCTTTTTCCATCTCAGCCCGTTGTGTCTGGGGTCCTCTTTGCATTCACCTTAGGGATAGCCGACATCAGTGGCTGGGCCTGGTGGCGCCCCTCGGCGTCTCTGTGAGCCGAGGTGGCGGGCTGGTCCGTCAGGCCGCCTTGGAAGGCTGCGCCGGCGGCTCGCGGTTGTGACCCGCTGTCGTGTCTGCAGGCCGCTCTCTGCTCCCCTGCCTCCCCTGCCTGGGCGCAGAGAAGAGCGACTCGCTGGCGCCGGTGTACGCTCGCCACGTGTACACGCGGCCGCGCAAGAAGCCGTCGCGGCACACGCAGCGCCTCTCATCCCGCTCCCTCTCCGAGTCGTTCCCCTCGGCCACCTCCACGCCCACCCTTCCCAAGGCCGCCTTCACGCTGGAGCGGCCGTTCCAGCTGGCGGTGTCGCACGCGCACAGCGCCAGCGACCCGGCCGTGTGGCGCGCCGGCCAGATGCCCACGCTCGGCCAGACGATCGTGCCGCGCTTCGCTCGGCCCGTTTTCCCACGACGGACCAAGTACCAGAACGTGCACTTCGAGCGGCGGTTGAGCGACGAGCAGGTGCCGGCCGCGTTCGTCACCAGTCCGGCCGAGTACCTGCGCACGCCGGCCTACGTCGGCTACTCGCTGCCGGACATAGCGGCCAGCTCGCAGCTCGCCGCCTTCCGCCCGGCCTCCCCGGACGGCGCGGCATCTCGCGAGCAGGCGGACGACTCGCGCTTCTCGCCGCCGCCGCGTGACGGCGCCGGTGAGCAGCCGCAGCACGCGCGCCACGCCTCTCTGCAGCTGAGCCGGGCGCCGGCCGTCTGGCACGGCAGGAGCCTGTCCAACCCGGTGTCCGGCTCTCAGGCCATGTCCGTGCCGCGTGACCCGGTGTTCGGACACACCGATCTGACGTCACACCTAGCGTGTCCGGCGCGCGTGCGCACCGACTCGCCGGGTCACCGCCGCCCGGCGGCCGGCGCGGCGGCGGCGGCGGCCGAGCGCGGCGCTAGCGCCGGCCTGCCGCAGGCCCGGCCCTCCTTCCACCCGATTCCGCACCGCTTCCCTGGCGCAGCGGACGAGGAGCGGGTGCGATCGGCGAGCCCCGCTCCCGGCGTCGGCCCCAGAGGTACAGCTGTTGCACACCGCTCGCCACCCGCCCGCTCGCTTCGATACCACCTTTGAATGCTTTTCTAACACCGCTTTCGCTCTGACTCTGCGTCCTTGAGGCGGCGGCACCGGAGCCTGGGCTGGCTGGCGGTCGGTGGGGTGATGGACGTCGACTAACCTGTTCGGTGCCTTTGTTCGGCGTAGTGTTTGTCTTGCGCGTGGTGGAGGCGAAACGTCTCCTTCCAAATATGCCGCTGACATGCACATTGATGCCCGCAGATCAAGTGAATATTTCGGCTTGAGTCTATATTGAAGTTTCTTCGCATCCACGTAGTCATTAATGACCACTTGGATAGTTCGCGGATCAGCAGCTATGGAGAATCGGACTAAACAGACGTGTATTTATCCCTCAGACCTAACTTGCTGGCAAATAACGTCCACTTGCCCCAGAACAAACGTCTCGGTGCTCACTGGTCCACGTCTGCAGCTCGCCGTGCCTGCTGGTCACAGATTGCGTGCCTCATGTCTAACCAGATGCACAGGTCACGACGTACGCTGGCTCCGACGAACGGAGCCAGGCGTCCGTCGGTGCAGGCGGCTGGGTCCTTCCGCCCGTGTCGCTGACCCGCCGACGGTAACACAGGCTGGTCGGCAGACGAGCGGCCGCCCCTCTTCAGGCGGCACCCGTCTGAGCTAAGTGGTCGGATGCTGCGCACCACGCTCTGCAAGTCGCCACAAGGCCTCGGATTCACCATTGTGGGCGGCGACGATGACGAGGAGGAGGAGTTGCTGCAGATCAAGTCACTGGTGCCGCAGGGCCCCGCGTGGCTGGACGGACAGTTGCAGACCGGTGAGGCCAGCGCTGGCTGTGGTGATCAGACTGTGATGTAAACGTCCCGCCGGGCTGGCTGGCGTCTGGTGGTGCCCTTCCCGACGTCTGGGCGCAAATGGAACTTGGATGGAGCGTAGCGACGTCGGCTGCGCATCATGGCGCTTATCACCTGAGTGGATTTCGTCTCTGCATCTCGCGTTTGGCTTTTGGTTAGTTGGAAGACTGACTGTGTCTCTGCAGCATTGAGATACTTATGCTGAAGGATTTTGATTACATTTACTTTAAACAAAGTTTTTGCCGTGTGGAGCTGATATGAGCGATGCTAGCTGCCACACTGCCTGTGTTGAACCCCGTTGAGAACCCTGTGTCAATGACGCCAAGTATCTGCGCCATCTTCCGACCTTAGCGTGCGGTGCGGTGCGGTGTCCCAGTGGAGTCAAAGCGACATTCACCGCACTCCGCCGGACACTCCGCGTACCACGGGCCTCACTCCCACCGGCTCCCTCGTTGCAGGTGACGTACTGGTGTATGTCAACGGCCAGTGCGTGCTGGGCTACACGCACCAGGACATGGTGCACATGTTCCAGACGATCGGCGCCGGCGAGCTGGTGCAGCTGGAGGTGTGCCGCGGCTACCCGCTGCCCTTCGACCCGGACGACCCCAGCACAGAGATCGTCAGCACGGTGGCCGTCAACGCTGCCGGTCAGTGGAACGACGGGGGTGTGCTGCCGCGGAGGCGGTCCGCGCGGTCAGGCCGTGCCGCGGAGGCGGTCCGCGCGGTCAGGCCGTGCCGTGGAGGCGGTCCACGCGGTCAGGCCGTGCCGCGGAGGCGGTCCGCGCGGTCAGGCCGTGCCGCGGAGGCGGTCCGCGCGGTCAGGCCGTGCCGCGGAGGCGGTCCACGCGGTCAGGCCGTGCCCTCCCCCGGCGCCCAACGGGTCTGCCTTGCAATGTGATCGGGGCGCCCAAAACCGCAGAGGGGACGGGTATTTGATGACGTCGCTGTGACGTCACAGTTATCGGCTGCTGTGGGATTCTCGGCGAATTGTTCAGGTTGCATCACACGGGCTTGTGCATGTGCTATGGGACACGTGACGTCAGCTGTCCGAGCGGCGTCCCTGGCTCTCCGTCGCATCAGCCCGTGCCTCGGTGTGACGCCCGGCGTGACGTCACGTGTTCTGGCGCCGCGCTGGCAGACGCGGGCCCGCCGCCCCGGCCGCAGGGCTCGGTAGAGCGGGGCGGCGGCCGGCGGCCAGGCTCGCCGCCCGGCTCCGACCGCAGCGCAGACACGTCCAAGTCGATGCCGGACCTGAGCGGCGCCGAGCCGCCGCGGCCCGTCCACCGGCCCAGCTCGGTCGACCTGCTCTCGACAGGCGAGTCCCGGCCGCGCTACCGCCGGCCCGATGGGAGGGAGGGGGGGGGGGGGGCGCTGGCGGGAGGCGGGACAGCCTTACGCGCTACAGGTAAGACTGCAGACGTGCTGAGTGGGACACCTGGTCACGTGAGCTGAGTCAAACACCCGGTCGTCGGCATGTCCTCAGATTAAACAAGGGTTTGCTGTGGCCTGTGGCTGATGTAAGCGTTCAGTCGTTGGCGATGCTCAGCTGGTGGTCACCAGCCTTGCCCACACACGGTCCACACACTGCAGTATGACGTCATGTCCGCGTTGGCGATGCTCAGCTGGCGGTCACCAGCCTTGCCCACACACGGTCCACACACTGCAGTATGACGTCATGTCCGCGTTGGCGATGCTCAGCTGGCGGTCACTAGCCTTGCCCACACACGGTCCACGCACTGCAATATGACGTCATGTCCGCGTTGGCGATGCTCAGCTGGCGGTCACCAGCCTTGCCCACACACGGTCCACACACTGCAGTATGACGTCATGTCCGCGTTGCAGACACCGTGCCGCCGACAGCTCCAAAGCCACGCTTCCTCACCGTGCCGATCGTGAAGGGAGACGCTGGCTTCGGCTTCACGGTTGCCGACTCCTTTCGCGGCCAGAAGGTGAAGAAGATCCTGGACCGTGGTCGGTGCAAGGACCTGCAGGAAGGTGACATCTTGGTGCAAATCAACGACATCCAGATCAAGGCCATGGCGCACACGGATGTGGTACAGGTAGGCTCCTGGATGTTCCGCCTGCGGGCAGGTTAGCGCCGGAGTAATATACACTGGCGGGTGGCGAATGTGTGGAAGCGATAAGGACATCGAAGTAAAAGCGGTCGCTTGAAGCCCCAAACATTAACACGCGCTGGGGTGGAGGGGGCAAGTTGCACCCCGAAATTTTTTCCAGAATGGTTTCCGAACGGCGCGGCGTAGCCGCGCCATATTTTGCATAGTTGTAGACAACTGAATAGCGGATCATTTGGCATCAAAAATTTAGCCGTACCTTGTGAGGTTGCTGGCCTATGGCAGGTGAAAGTCAGGCCATGGTTTCAGCGAAGGCAATTTCTAGGGAATCCCTCAACCTGACCCAGTAACGGAGCGTTAGACGAAGTCATACATCTCTGAGATACTTTCTCAGGCAACACAACAGTTCAATAAGAAAATTACATTGACCTTAGGTCAGGTATGAAGGTCACACCAGGGTCAAAACCAACCTGTTTTGTTATTCTAGGGCTTGCTGTATGGGATCATTTCTGGTGCTCATGTCCAGTTTATTGATAGCAGGAACCGCATTATACATCTTCCATGAACTTCTTAGAGGTCAGAATAGGTCATTGACCTAAAATGACTCAGGTCAACATTTTGTTTTAGGAACTTACTGCCTAGCGCAATCTTTGCTGCTTAGTCAACGCAAAACTCCAAGCAATCTTGAATGATTTTGGTCACCTTACCGTCAAGAGGTCAAGCAAGGCCACTGACCTCGAATGAGAATGTGACCTTTTGCTTAGAAGCGGTTATCTGAGTTCTGGAGGCACTTTGGAGGCCAACCTGGAACTTGACCTTGTTTGGCGTTCTTTGGTCCGAAGGTCATTACCTAGGAACCTGAAACTTTATCCTACGTAAGTTCACGTGCAGATCAACACACTCTGTAAGGTTGATGTATCTAGCTTTCTTAGTTCCCGACATCTCAGGTGCTCAAATTGACCCCCCCCCCCTCCCCCCACGCGAGCGAAGGGTATCTAGCCGGCCACCCGGGTGCGTGTTAAAAGGTGCTTGTCGTGCCAGGAGAACATTGCGTGTTATACATAAATATAGTATGCTGACCGCAAGCATGTAGACCATTTACTGCATGTGCCAGCGCGGAGTTTGCTGTTGGTTGACCTGGTTATGCCGAGCATCCCGTTCAGGTGCAACTTGGCCGTGCTGCACGTCAGAGGACATTGACTTACCCATCCCCGTGTAGGTGCGAATGACACGTATCCAGCATAGTATGAAGTTCACCAGACCCTCACCTGCTCGGCAGGTGCTGAAGGACTGCCCCGTATATCAGGAGTCCAACGTCACCGTACAGCGGGGCGGCTCGCACAGCTCTTCCAAGTCGTACTTGCGCCGGCCGGGTACCCGCAGCGGCCACCAGCGCAGCCAGAGTGCCGCCTCCGCGCCGTACCCGGGCGAGCCGGGCCGGGCACGCACACCGTCCACGGACACGGACGGCGGCCAGCTGGCGCCGCTGTACCGGCCCACCGAGCCGTACTCGGGCCGCGGTGACGTCGGCGAGTACCGGCCGCACGCGCCGGCGGAGCAGTACGGCGCGGCGTATCCCGAGTACGGCGGTGACCAGACGTACCGGGCCGTGGCACCGCGCGGCGACGGTCAGGGCGCCCACCCGCCGGTGGGCGGCGGACGGCTGCAGTGGGCGGCTGGCCCGCCGCACGGCGACGGCTGGGCCGAGCCGCCGCAGGGCCGGCGCGGCTCTCAGCCGGCCGACGGCGCCGAGCGGGCCGCGCCCTTCCCCGGCCACGAGCGCTCGCCAGCCTCCCACCAGCTATGTGGCGGGCCCGGGCCCCGCCAGCGGCGCAAGCAGAGCACCAGCTTCGAGCAGGAGCTGCCGGCGCCGTCGTCGGTGCTGCGCGTGCAGCGGCCGTCACCGGGTGCCGGCCAGTGGGTGGAGACGGCCGTCACCCTACTGCGCCTGGAGACCGGATTCGGCTTCCGCATCGTCGGCGGCACCGAGGAGGGCTCTCAGGTGAACCCCGATGCCGGTCCGCTGAGGGGGAGGGGGAGGCGCCGATTGCGCGGGTAGGGTGCGCGGGCAGCAAAAGTGGGTTTTCAGATGTTAACGGCGAGTTCAGGCGCGATCAATGGCTAGGCCGATTGTCACTTGGTATCCAACAGTCCAGTCCATTGCCTCGAGGCCACGCGGTATTAGCAGCAAGAGCCTTCGACATTAGCTGAGAGGAAGTGAATCGTGTTCAATGTGTTTACAACAAACGATACATATTGAACCGTGTCCCTTGTGTTTGAGTCACATGGTTCCGTGTTACCTGTGTGGACGGCGCATCACGCCATACGAATTTTCTTAAGTAACCGTGGACCCACGTGATGAGTGTCAGTCGGCGCCGCGGTTTGGTGCTGACGGCGGCGCGGCGGGCCAGGTTTCCATCGGGCACATTGTGCCGGGCGGTGCGGCCGACCTGGACGGCCGGCTGCGAACGGGCGACGAGATCGTCTCAGTCGATGGCCAGCTGGTGATCGGCTCCTCCCACCACTACGCCGTCCATCTGGTCAACCAGGCGGCCAGCAACGGCCGGGTCCAGGTCAGTGGTCATCAGCGGAACGGGTCTGCCCTCAGCGCAGGGCTCTCATGGAGACAGTGTCATCAGCGGAGCGGGCCTGCCCTCAGCGCAGGGCTCCCATGGAGACCTCCCATGAGGATATGTGAACTGTAGGTGCCACTGGCTCATTGTGAGATGCACATATATCTCACACAGGCTCCTGATGGAACTAGTGCCTATTACCCTAGTCTATCAGGTTTTAATGAGTATGCATTAATTCTCATTATCATGCCCGTACCGAAGTGTTTGTTTGCCTGGCGTACATTCAGTTCCCTGGCGTTTCTCAGACTGACGTGTTAATTGATATTCATAACCATATTTCGTAGTTAGATGCATCGTTTCTAGGCGTGTATTCAGTTCCCTAAGTATCTCCGATTGACTATGACCCCCTCCCCGTCGGCAGCTGAACAAAGGTCCCCTCCCCGTCGGCAGCTGAACTAAGACCCCTTCCCCGTCGGCAGGTGAACTAAGGTCTCCTTCCCGTCGGCAGTTGAAATAAGGCCCCCTTCCCCGTCGGCAGCCGAACTAAGGCCCCCTTCCCCGTCGGCAGCTGAACTAAATTTTCCTTCCCCGTCGGCAGCTGAACTAAGATCTCCTTCCCCGTCGGCAGCTGAACTAAGTTCGCCTCCCCGTCGGCAGCTGAACGTGCGTCGCTTGCTGTCGCCGCCGGGCCGAGCGCGCGCTGCGCCGGCCCATCTCACCTACCCGCGCCAGGTGGCCGTCACACGCCGCCAGGGCGAGGGCTTCGGCTTCGTCATCATCTCGTCGGCCGGCCGCTCGGGCGCCACCATCGGCCGCGTGCTGGAGGGCAGCCCGGCCGACCGCTGCGGCCGTCTCTTCGTCGGCGACCGCGTGCTGGCCGTGCACGACACGCCCATAGCGGGCATGCACCACGACCAGGTGGTAGCGTTGATCAAAGACGGCGGCTACCGTGTGCTGCTGACGCTGGGACCGCCGGCTGACGACTCGTCCAGCACCACATCCACGCCGCAGAAGGTGGGCGGCGGCGCACCTACCGCCTGGGGATGGACGGTGTGCGCGACGCTCTAACTGTGTAGCGAGGACGGTGCCGGACGCTGCCTTGTTATGAGCCGATGAGTGGTGTCAATGGTCTGATCTTATCATGTCACGCTCTTCGTTTTATTTTCATAATAAGTTACCAATAATTATCTGTCACCTGGTGATAAACAGAGGCAGCAAAAAAACCGGCTTGACAAAGAGACCACCCCTAGCCCAGAGCGCATGTCGCCCAAGTGACCTCAGACCGGCTGACCAGCTGGGGACAAATGGCACCTTTCTCTGGTGCTGAGCCGTGACTCTCGGGTATCCAGGACGAGGAGTACCCGGTCGGGGACGGACCAGCCGGCGAGTACGACCTTCACGCCATGCAGTTCCAGCGAGGTCCGCAGGGGTTCGGCTTCTCGATCCGAGGCGGCCGAGAGTTCCAGCACATGGGCCTGTTCGTGCTGAGGATCGCCGAGGACGGGCCGGCCGCGCTGGATGGCAGGCTGAGGGTGCGTGACAGACACGCAGTGGACGGCATGATTTTAGTGGGAGGAAGGGTGCCAAAGGTGGATCGGGTCGGCCTGTTTCGCCGTCTGAGGTCAAGCAGAAGATGCAAATGAAGTGAATGACAAGTGATAACCAATGCCGGTGCTGGTCGTAGCCAAAATTATTGGCTAAACCGTGTAAAGATTGCATACATATGCGTTCGTATCTTAGATAAAAGGGTTTTCATCAATACCAAAAAGCATATGGTGTCAGTTCAGATACGATACGACAGCTAATTCACTTTCCCGTGAGCTGCGACTAACGCGAAAGTTGTTCCGCACTTGATGATTGTGTTCCCAGGTGGGTGACCAGATTCTGGAGATAAACGAGACCAGCACGAAGGACCTGACACACGGCGAGGCGATCGAACTAATCCGGCGGGGTGGTGCCACCGTCCGCCTGCTGGTCCGCCGAGGCGGCCCGCTGCTCCCGGTGAGCACCATGGCAGCCCCCGAGCTGGGGGGGGGGGGGCTGGCACATGTTGCTGGGGAGGCCGGCTGTCCGTGTCAGCGGAGCAGTGGCACGCCTCAAACCGCTCTGACGCGCTCGACGCCTCTCTGGCCATGTTGCAGGAGATGCCCGAGCAGTCTGCACCGTCCTCGCTGACGCCGTCCTCAGCGGGCGGCACGGCCCGCTCCTCATCGGCGCTGTCCCAGCCGTACCCGGGCCAGCACGGCCAGCAGCCGGCCCCGCGGGGCCACCAGCAGTCCCAGCAATACCAGCCCCAGTACGGCCACCACACCTCCCAGGCTTATCCGGCCGAGGACGGCCACCAAATGTCTCAGTCTTATCCGACCCAGCACGGCCACCAAATGTCTCAGTCTTATTCGGCGCAAAACGGATCTGTCGCGCCCCAGTCGTACCAGACTCAGCACGGCAGCCAGTTGTATCGGACTCAGTACGGCGACGAGTCGTACCTGGCCCAGCACAACCACCAACCGTCGCAGTCGTATCAGGCGCAGCACAACCACCAAGCCTCGCAGTCATATTCAGCTCAGCACAGCCACCAACCGTCTCAGTCGCATTCGGCCCATCACAACCACCGAGCCGCCCACTCGTATGTATCACTGCACAACCACCAAACCTCCCAGACTTATTCGGCGCAGTACAACCACCACCCGTCACAGTCGTATCCGGGCCGGTACGACCACCCGTCGTACGCGCCCGAGTACAACTACGGGCCGGTCGAGTCGTACCCGGGCCGGCACGAGCCCCAGCCGTACCCGTCCTCGGCCAGCGCCGATGGGTCGAGGCCAGCGAGCGGCCCGCTCGGCCAGAGCTCGCCACTCAGTCCACAGGAGCTGGCCTACTGGCGGCGGCAGGCCAACGTCTAGCAGCGTCGCCGCCCAGTGCGTGAGCTGTGGTACTGCTTGCCGGTGTCAACCACTGCCAGTGCAGGTGGCAAGATCAGTCAGCCTCGTCATTCCATTTGTTTCGTGTTGTGTGTCGGTGTGCCACGGTCGCAAAAAAACCGCGGACGCGCCACTGTTTGACAGTGCTGCCGTATTTTATCCGCGGGGAGGCGATGGCTTTATGACTGTGACGCTCAAAGGGGCTGTTTTAACAAACGTTGAATGAACTGCCAGAAAGCATTGCAATCACTAGCACGTTATGTTATTGATGTAGTACCGATTGCGTATGCCGTGCTTATTTTGCAGCAGTTCAATGCAGGGTGTTGTAGATGATAAACCAACGCCACTACTGAGTGATGACTTTCTGCTATGCGTTTCATCTTCCTTTGTTTGCGCTTGCTGCTTTCGAAAAGACAATCATTATCCCCGTGATCGACTGTCTGGATGGCGAGCCTTTGTGCAACGTTTCCGCCCAGGCGTGGTGTGGTTGATAGCCTGTTGGTGCGCTGATTGACTTAGAGCCACCACTCCAGGTCAGCCTGGGGCCAGCATTGTACAAGTGATTGATCAAATCGTGCTGAAAACTAATACAATATTTACCCCACATTACAATAGCTTAAGGGGACACAAAATCGCGACGTTCATCCGGCCCTAGTAGTCGCACCACCTGTACTGTTTGAGTCATGCCACGCGACTTGTGTAGAAACGACGGCCCGTTGGAGCTGCCTCGTCGACACACTTGCCGCCCATTCAACAGGGAGCAGAAAGCTTCGGCGAAACTGACAACTGTCAGACGCCGCGTTTGGATCGCAGTAGCCAAACTGACCCACCCTGGCATCGGCTGTGCGCTCTGTAGTGTGCTGCGGCAGCGTCGCCAGCCCCGCGTCCGCTCCGCTCGAGTTGGGCACTGTTCCTCCGCCCCTATAAAATACATAGGCCCCCGGCGCTGCTAGCTCCGCCTAACGAGGCCTGGCCGACGCTCAGATAAGTATCCCATTCAGCTGTTTACTGACCACGCATCTGCCATTACGCATCTTCGCCAGCACTGGTTCGTTTTGTTCCTGGATACTGGTAATCATTCGAACGCCCTGATTGCGGGTGCGAAAATCCTGCCGTCATGGAATGCATGGTATTGTACATCGCCGAATGGACACTTACTCACAAACAACACATTCACCATAAATCAAATGTCCGTAATTGATTACGCTATGGCAATCCCACAACGCTGTCGTACTGCACCATTTGTGGTTGACCCAGCCCAAAAGCCAAATATCAATGTCCACCTTCAAAGCGGAACACCTCACAGTGTCTGAGGTGAATGTGGTCACAAAATACACGATAGTTGGCGCGACTCCCGACGGTACATCAGCAACATGACGTCGTTGTTTCACACGACGAACCAGTCACGCTACACCACTGGTACATCAACATGACGTCGCAGTTCCAAGCGACGAACCAGTCACGCTACACCACTCAAGTGTAAAATAATAATGCGGTAAAAACGTCGCGCTCGCACAACACACGACACCTGCACGCCTTTCCGTCACGACCACAACATTGCCACCAACGGTCACACTGGCCACGACCGCAAAACTGCCACCAACGGTCACACTGGCCACGACCGCAAAACTGCCACCAACGGTCACGCTGGCCACGACCGCAAAACTGCCACCAACGGTCACACTGGCCACAACCGTGTACTGTTTAGGGTCAGGACGACCTACAAGCATTATCTATAGCTCAACCAACGGCATAATGCAAGTCGCAACAGCTTCACCGGCTGGCACAAGGTACGGCTCTCCGCCGGACACTCCAGCGCACCCTGTGGGCGGTCCAACGCCAAACTAGCCCCAGAGAACGCCTGCATTTTACCAGACACCGCTTGTGTATGAGATCAGGGCGGCTGGCCGCCACTCTGACCGCCGCACAGTCGGCCCGGCTCTGGGACGTGGCCGTGTCCAGCCGCGTCCGCCGCGCTCACGGCAGCCCGTCCCGGCGCCGGCGGCGTGGCCGCGGCTTCCGAGGTAGAGCCCCCGCCGCCGGCCATACACATTGCACTGTGGTCAGCTCCCCCCGACGCCGGCACCGAAGGCTGGCCGTCCCTGCCGGTGAGGCCGCCACCAACATGCGGATCCGCCTCCGCGCCGGCGGCACTACCTGCCGACACCGGCCGCGGCGGCAGAGTGACGCCCAGAGCCGCCCCTCCGCCGCCCACCTGACGTCTCGCATTGCCACCGGCGCAGCTGGCCCCCGAGTCGGACCGCTCCTGCACACGACACAGCCGCTGACTTAAGTCCGCCACCGCTGCCGGCGCCGCGTCGGCGTCCAGCCGTTGTAGGCAGTGCCGGTCGGCGGTGCCGGTGGCGGCTGCCGCGCCGCGCCGCGGCAGAGTCCGTGCGCGGCGGCATGTCCTCCTGACGGCGGTGCAACGCCGGCCCCAGCTGACGGCCGAGAGCCGCAGGCAGGGCGCAGTCGTCTTGCTCGATCTGGCAGCCCCGCTGCAGCCAAGCGGCAGCGGTAGCCGCTCTGGCCGGGCCGAGCGGCGCCGCTTCAGTGGGCCGCGCGGCAGCGCCGGCGGCAGCGCGGTGAGCGGACCCGCGGCGTCACCGGCGCCGCGCGGTCCGGCCGGCAGCCGTCGCCACCGCCGAGCTGCTTCCGGCTCCAGCTCCGTCCACGCCGCCACGGTAGGGCCGGCCTCGCCGTCCGCCGACCGCCACGGCTGGTCCAGCAGTGCTGGCGTCGTCCGAAGCAGCGCGCCGGCGCCGTCTGCAACGAGCGAACAACGCGGTCAGGGCGTATGGCGGCGCCAAAGCACGCAGGCTCCGGGGCCCTGTCGCTGGATGGCCGACACAGAAAGATCGCAAGAGCAGAACTAGTTTTTCGCACATGAACTCGAAACTTAGCGTCTCCAAATGCCATAAACTAAAAGAGACCGAACTGCATGAACTGCACCATTCGCCCAGCAAATACGCTGCAGATCGACCGCAAATTAAGCCCTGACAAATCAGGCTCATGAGCGCTAAAATAACCAAGCAGTTGCAACGTCTTAACGCCTAAATCAAAATGGACCAGGTCGGTGCCTATCGCGCCTCACCGTTGTGGCTGTGCGGCGTGTGCGCCCCGTGGCCGGCCAGCTGACAGTGGAAAGCCGTGCCTGCAGTCTGCAGCACCTCCGCGCCGCTCCCTCCGCCCCCACCACCGTCACCGCCGCCGCCGCTGCCGCTGCCGCTGCCGCTGCCGCTGCCGCTGCCGCTGCCGCTGCCGCTGCCGCCGCCGCCGCCGCCGCCGCCGCCGTCGCCGCCGCCGCTGCCGCCGCCACCGCCGCTGCCGCCGCCACCGCCGCTGCCGCCACCGCCGCCGCCACCGCCGCCGAAGGCCGGCCGGTCGGTGGCCGAGCGGGCCGAGCCTGGTTGTAGCAGCGCCGCTGAGTTCAGTGGCCTGGTCGGTGGCGAGCGGCGCAGGCTGCCGCCGCCAGCCGGCCCGCCCCAGGCGGTCGTGGCGGCCAGGGCCGGCACCGGTGCCCGACTGCGGCCGCCGTCGACCGCCAGAGACACGGCGTGCGGGCCGGCCGGAAGCGCGCAGCCCGGCGCCAGGCCCGGCTGGGCGGCGGCCAGGTCACGCCGATACTGGCGCAGGATGGCCACGATGCGGCCGCGCGTGCGCTCGTCCTCTAGCTCTGGCTCGGCGCGCTCCTGGCCCGTCCAAACCGCCTCCAGCACGCTCTCGAACTCGCGCAGCTGCTCGGCCAGCGGCGGCTCGTCCGGCGGCGTGTACTTTGCCTGCCGACCGCTGGCGCACTGGAAAGCGACCACCAGCCATCAGTCATCACCACGGTTATGACGCAGGAGCACGCAGGACATCTGTCATACGTGGCGTTTAAATCCCTTTTCAATCAATGTCGGAGAACGTCAAAAATGCGGATATCATTGAACGACCATACGCTCCACATGGCATTACATGTTCAGGGCAATGCCGTCGGTACGGCGTTCAAAACTTGCACAGGTGCTAACATCCAATCAATGACAAAAATATGGGCATTTTTCCAATTTGTCACTGGGATCCTCAGCTGAATTCGTCGCAGTACACGGGAATATCCCCAACGCTAAACGCCCTTGCTGTGGTCGCTCTGCGAAATCGTTCAGAAGATTGCTCTGCTGCACTCTTTCACTCACTGGTGTGTGGCTGCGGGCGGCGGCGGCGGCGGCGGCGGTGTGCGCTGCTGCCGAGGGGCCCGGCGCCGGCCCTGCCGGCTCCTGGGAACGGTAAAGGGTGATCGTCTCTGGCTGGCCGGCCGCGCCCGGTCCGTGCATGGACTGCAGCACTTCCTGCACGCTGATGGCCCCCGGAGCCTGCGCAGCGCGCGCCCTCTTCGCTCGCGCCCCAGAGCCGTCAGCAGCGGGGCGGGAGCGGCGGCGCCGGCCGGCCGGCGGCGGGCCGCACGCCGTCTCCATGGACATATCGGGTCCGACAGCCGGCGGCTGGCTCGCGCCTGCGGTCGGCACCGCCGACACCGGCACCTGCGGCTGGTGTGCAATCGCCGAGACCGCCAGCGGCCGGCTGGCACAGGCCGCGCCGGGAGACTGGCCGGGCGCGCCCGCCGACGTGGCTGTCTGGTGGTGAGCCTCCGCCGGCGCCAGCTGACGGGCTCCGGCCACGGCCGGCAGCTGGCGCCGAAGGCTGGCCGTCATCGGGGACTGGTAATGGCCGACGCAGCGCGTTGACAGGTCGCTGCCCGCTGTGTACGACGCTGCGCTGGCGGCTGACCGCTGGTGAGGTCCGGAGACGATGAATGGCGACTGTTGGTGCACTGTGGTCATCAATCCGTGGTTCACCGCCGGTGGCTGGTGAGCACTAATACTCATCTGTGATTGCTGGTTAGCACCAAGATTCATTATCGGCCGCTTGTGAGCACCAAGATTCATCGGTGACAGCTGGTGGGCATCAAGGCTCACTGGTGGCCTCTGATGAATGCGAAGATTCACTGGTGACTGCTGATGAACACCCAGATTCATCGGTTGCTGCTGGTAAGCGCCAGGATTTGCTGATGCCTGTTGGTGAGCAACAAGATTCACTGGAGCCTGTTGAATAGCATCAAGATTCAATGGCGACTGCTGGACGGTGCGACTTATCGGTGACTGTTGATGCGCACCAAGATTCACTGGCGACTGTTGGTGAGCGCCAAGATTCCCTGACGCCTGTTGATAGGCACCAAGATTCATTAGCGACTGTTGGTGAGCACCAAAATTCATCGGCGATCGCTGGTAATCACCGAGCGCCATCTGCGGCTGGACGTGCGGTCCGGCCGGCGGCTGTGACGACTCCTGGTGGGCTCGCACGGTGCCGGGCGACTGATATGGACGGCCGTGCATTACCGTCGGCTGCCGGTACTCCTGAGCGACCCCTACCGGCGCCGGCGGACGCGAGCTGGCCAGAGCCGGCGACGACTGGCGCGGCGCTTCATTAAGACCGTCCACCGTCGGCTGGCGGTGACCTGGGCCTGCCGCGTCTGGGTATTGATGGCGATAGCCCGTTGTCAGCGCTTGATGATGCAGGCTGTCACCGGCCGGATAATGATGACGGGGATTGCCCGCCGCTGTGCACTGATGGAGAGCGTTTTCCATTGGACGATACTGATTGCGATTATCCGTTACTGGAGTTTGGTGGTTCGGGTTATCCAAAGACGGATACTGGTCGCGGGGGTTATCCATTGCAGGATACTGACGTTGGAGATTATCAGCCATAAGCTGCTGAAGAAGATCGTCCGCCGACGACGTCTCACGCAGATTATCCAGGGACGGATACTGCTGACGCGCGCCGCCGGTCGTCGGCGACTGATGACGAAGGCTACCTGGGCTCATGTACTGATGATTTGAACCGCTTGCTGTCGGATATTGGTGAGGATTATTCGGCGGGGGCGCATGATGAGCAAGACTATCTGTTTCTAGAGGATGATGACGAGAATGAACTAATGCAGGTGACTGTTGAGGACGCAGCTGATCCCCTGCGGATGTCTCGTAGCGCAGACGATCCTCTAGAATGGACTGCTGATGGTGTGGATGCGCCGACACCGGCGACTGATGACGTTGCTGATCAGACACCGGCAACTGATGACGTGGCTGAGCTGTCACCGGCGACTGATGACGTGGCGGAGCCAGACGTGACTGAGTCGACACCGGCGACTGGTGACGTTGCTGATCAGAAACCGGCGACTGATGACGCGGCTGAGCTGTCACCGGCGACTGATGACGTGGCGGAGCCAGTGCCGATAACTGATGACGCGGCTGAGCCAGCGCCGGCGACTGATGACGTGGCCGAGCTGTCGCCGGCGACTGATAATGTGGCTGAGCTGACAGCCGTAGCTGATGACGTGGCTGAGCCGACGCCGGGGATTGAAGACGTAGCTGAGCCAGCACCGGCGACTGATGACGTGGCTGATCCGACACCGGCGACTGATGACGTGGCTGAGCTGTCACCGGCGACTGATGACGTGGCGGAGCCAGTGCTGATAACTGATGACTTGGCTGAGCCAGCGCCGGCGACTGATGGCGTGCCTGATCCGACACCGGCGACTGATGACGTGGCTGAGCCAGTGCCGACAACTCATGACTTGGCTGAGCCAGAGCCGGCGGCTGATGACGAGGCTGAGTCACCACCGGCGACTGATTAAATGACTGATCCGACATCAGCGACTGATGACGTGGCTGAGCCGGTGCCGGCGACTGGTAACGTGGCTGAACTGGCGCCGGTGGCTGATGACCTGGCTGAGCCGGCGGCGCTGACTGGCTGCTGCCGTTCGGCGTGGGCGGCCGTGAAGTCTCGTCGTATGACGTGGGGCTTCTGCGGCCGCCTGCCAAAGACCCGGACGGCAAGCGGGGCTCACCGTCGACGTCCGGGGCTCTATGGACGTCGGCCGGCGCCGGCGACAGAGCCGATATGCCGGCCGCGGGCGGCGGGTCAGCCAGGCCGGCGCCGGCAGCGGCCGGACCGCGCTGTTCGGCTATGTGCGGGCCGAGCGGGCCACCGGTGACCACCGACAGCTTGGTTTGCATGGTGGAGCCGCCGCCGGCCAGGCCGGCCCGGTACTGCAAGCCAGAGGTCAGCGACCTCAAACCCACCAGCGGAGACAAGGCGTTTTGGGGCTGCGCGGCGGCGGCCGCCGACTGGGGACGGCCGGCCCCAGCTGGGACCGCCTGAGCCCAGCCGGCCGCTTCGGCTGCTGCGGACTGGGACCAGTCGGCAACGCCAGCAGCCACCGACTGGGACCACCCGGCCGCCGCCGCCGCCTCCGCGGCCGTGTACTGGCGAGCGCAGCACCCCGGCGCCGCGGGTTGGGAGTGATTGGCCGCAGACACCACTGGCTTGGGCCGGCCGGCCGCCGCCGCGCCCCTGCCGGCAGCCGCGACCTGAGCCAGGCACACTGCGGCCATCTCTCGGCCCGGCTCTGAACACTGCCGCCTCACACACGCCATCTTGCCGTCGCCGGGCCGGCCGGCTGCCGCGGCCGCCGCCTTGCCGCGCGCGCGACCGGTGCCGGCCGCCTGTTGACCCTTGAGCCGGCGCAGCACCTCCAGCCGGTCGGTCCAGGCGGCCGCCCGGTCAGTCTTGCCACACGCCCCGGGGCCGTTGGTGATCACCCGCTTCCCCTCCACCGACAACACAGCGCAGTCGTTGGTTGGTGACAGGCCTGTCACAGCCCGACTCGCCTCCTTGGCGTCGGTCTCTGGAGGCAGGGCGCCGTTGGATTCGGCCTTAACGCTGCGCTCCGCAGGCGGCTGGGGAAGGCCGTTCCTGCCCTTGGGCAGCTGCTTCCTGCTCAGCTTCACGTCTAGAGCGGCCCTCTTCGCGGCAGGATTGTGGCTGACGTACGAGCTCACCGCTCTGCTGCAGCCCTTCAGGAACCGCTCGTAGCCCTTCTCAATGCCGTGGAACGCGTCCGGCGGCTCGCTCTTCGGACAGCCACCAAACCGGCTGTAGTCGATGTCCAGGTAGCGCAGGTCGCGCGTGATGTTCATCAGCCGGTCCGGGTCGTGCAGGTAGGCCCGGCACAGCGCGTGCAGCCGACGCCAGTCTAGTGTCCAGGAGAGCCGCTTCCAGCGCGTCGAGCTGAGCACCACCAGCAGGTCGGCGGCCAGCTGGTCAGAGACGCCCAGCGCGCTGAGTGCGGCGCCGCAGTCGGCCAGCACGTCATAACTCTGGTCGACCGGCGCGCCGCCGCCCTGGTTGGTCTGCTCCAGCCGGGCGGCGGCACTCTGCAGCTGGCTGATAAGGCCGTCCGCACAGGCCAGGAAGGCGGCGTCCGGCTCTCCGGGCCCGCTCTCCACGCCGTCGCCGACACACTGCGGCGCGCCGTCGTCCCTGGCTGCCGCGAGGGCGGTGGCGCCCCGTACAGCCGGGTCCCCGGGCGGCTCCACCGGCCGCTGTTCCTGAGATGGCGCAGGAGCGCACACCAGCGCCGGATCCGGCGGCCTGTCCTCGGAGGCAGTGGGAGAACGCTCTGGCCTCCGGTGCTCCGATGTCCCGGGACTGCAGGCCTGCCCACGGTCCTCCGGCGGTCCGGGATCACACACGGATGCAGCGATGCTCGGCCGCCTGGGACCACAGGCTGAAGACGCCGCTCGGTACTCCTCAGATGGGCCTGGAGGGCACCAGGCTCCAGACGAGCTGCAGCTCTCTGTAGGCCCGGAAAGACACGGTGGTCCGATCAGCCTGGAGTCGGTGACCAGTGTCGGATGTCCCGTACCAGCCAGTCCGGAATCCCCGGCAGGCTCGGCAGGACACGTCGGTCCGCCGTCTCCAGAGCTCACCGAGCCGCAGCCTCTCTCTGGGGGCCAGCCGGCGTGCTCGGCGCCTCCGGCGGCCCCCGTCTCGCCGGCCAGCCGCTCCAGCTGGTGCAGCGTGTCAGCGCTCGGCTGCAGCGAGAAGGCCGACAGCACGCACTCGCGGCTGACGCGGCCGCTGTCGGCGGTCAGCTCGGCCAGCCGCGTCAGGCCCGCGGCCAGCACGCGCCGACAGCGGCCGCCCTCGGAGCCGCCGCCGCCGCCGCCGCCGGCCTCGTCCGCCAGCTTCAGGTGCTCCAGCCGGTTCGTCTCCAGTGTCAGCGCCCGCACACACAGCTCGATGGCAAGCGGACGGAGTGCGGCACCAAGCTGGGGGACAAGGCACAGGTGCGTCACACCACTGACTTAAAAAGACAGGCTGCGGCTCACGTTGCTTGCCAGGTTGTTGATTTTGCGTGAAACCTTGCAAAACGTCATCAGAAACTCATTTCTTAGAGTCCTCATGAAAAACTGCGAGGAAAGCAGAGACACGCGTAGATCCACAGCGCGCCTGGAACACCCCAGAGCGCAACGGATCGTCACGGCCCCAGCGCAACGAATCATCACGGCCCCACCGCGACGAATCATCACGGCCTCACCGCGACGGATCATCACAGCCCGAGTGCGCCGTCTCACACTGGAAGGTCAATGAGAGGACGCAAACAATAAAAAACGCAAAAAAGCACAGTGCCGCATTCCAGAAGACCCGCGGAAGCGACACGTTTACCAGGATGTTTGTCATACCTAGCAAGCGTATACCTCCAAAGCCCGGGGACGCAGATTGCTACAGGATGACCAGCTGGCTGGTTCATGCAGCTGTGTCAATCCGGAGAATGAACTCCCTCGCTCCCTCCTGACACAGCTCGGGTGGCACAAAGAGATCATTAGAGGCCGTCGATTCTTACTACAAGGCTTAAGCCGTGGGCGAAGGCGATGATGTGCCGCGCACTGTCCACCTTCGAGACGAGCGTGCGGGCGCTGGCCTCCACGTCTGCCGGCTCGGCGGCCGTCTCCCCCTGCCTGAGCAGCTGTGCCCACTCCACCGTCAGTTCACTGAAACAACACGTACAGCCGTCACAGACCAGCGCAGTCCGCTTTGACACCGCAGCCGCGCAGTGAGCTCTGCCACTGCCGCCACCAACTACAGGCACTCTCCCATGCTGGTCTACAGCGTTGTAAATGAGGCCATCAACTACTGGGGAGATTGTGCGTAAGTGCTTTGCTCAGCTATCGAGGGATACGATATTTCGTACGGTGAGCACCCCCCTGATAGGCCAACGCACACACAGTTACAAACGGCAGTTACAACAGTTCCAAACAGGTGCGCGCTGGTGGCGTCAGAGGCGCCGGTGACGCTGGCAGGCAGCGGCCACTCACAGGACGCAGTGGTCGTCCCCCGGCCGGAAGAGCGCGTGCACCAGCAGCAGCTGACTGAGGAAGGCTGCCAGCCGGGCCGCGTGGCGCCACATCCGCTGGCGACAGCCCCGTCGCGCCACAAACCGGCGAACCAGCGACACGGCCGCCGCACCCTGCAGCGACGACAGCTGGCGAACAGGAGACAGCCGCTGTCAGCTGGCATATCACAGACCCGTCACCCGCTGCACCCTGCAGCGAAGACAGCTGGCGAATAGGAGACAGCCGCTGTCAGCTGGCATATCACAAACTCGTCACCCGCTGCCGATGGCACGGGACTGGCGGTGCGGCGTCCGCCTCCAGCGGCCCACTCGCAGGCCAGGTGGGACACACCTGGGCTCTTAACCCTGGCTAGGGGAGCGATGGTCGCGAATACGCTTTGGCTGGACAGCAGGCTTGCGCTCGGTGCGTCACCGCTATCGAACCACCCAGAGATCAGGTCATCTCCCTTCTGTATCCAACCCATTGCAGACCGACAAGTAGGGGATGGGAAAGGCCAGGTCAGGTTAACAGACATCCAAGATACCGACGTACGCAGGTGCGCTGCTCCCCTAATCTTTGATCCGGAGAAGTCATCTACGAAGACTGAGCTGGTTCTCCCAGCGCTCTCCCACCCAATCAATGACGGGTTGCACTAAACGCTAGCTATCATAGAGTCATTACAGGACAACACAGGTGGTAAAATCATCATCTTCTTCTCATATCAGCTGCCGGCATTAATGTGTCGAAGAACGCGTTTCTACGACGCGAGCCGGAGATGATGACAGGTTCCTTTGTTGTCACAGTGATTGTGTGTCAAGGAAAAAATGTCAGCATATTTTTCACTTAGGGAAATGGCTGTATTACAGCTCATCAATGGTATTTGATAATTCAGTGGAGACAAATGTTATTATGACGACCATTTCATCACACAGCACACAACTAACCCATTGGGCAGCTTGCTAGAGTGAGTCTTACATGGATGACAATTATGATGGGACATATAATGACGCACATGTATTATACTCACCATGCTGATGATAGCATCTTTTTTTCTCCACTTAAACAGCAGGGTAATATAGAGATCAAGGAACAGCAGTTTGTGAATGCTGGAGCACATGTCCTTAAACTTTCCATCTGCCATTTCTTGGCACCTAGAATAGCAAGATATCGCGTTAGCGGCCATCGATAGCTTGATCACAAGTGTAAGTTAAAGTCACGAGCAATATGACGTGGTTCGGTGCCCACAGCAGCACATCATGTATTCAGATAACAGTAACACATACACACAGGCACATTTCTCAAGCCACAGTCACACATGGTGTAGCACGCAGTAATACTTTGAGATGAAGTTAGAGATAATTACCTGGCAGCCATCAAACACTGCTTAAAAATCAGTCATGGAAGGAAACTGATACTTAGGTCTCACAAAGCACAGACTAATGGCAATGTAGGTGGACACTGCTAGCCAATCAGGGACCAGCATTAGCACGGCGCGTGAGACCACGCCCCGCGGCGCTGCCGCCTCACCTGTAGCAGTGTCGCACCAGCGCCAGCGCCAGGTCCTCGCAGCGAGACTCACAAAGCGTCTGCAGGCGCAGTGTCAGCAGGTCGGGGCTCTCCGAGCAGCAGAACTCCATAGCTAAAGAGGAAACACCCGCTGGTTACGGACCACGTACTGGATGTCAACTGCAAAACAGCAGGACACATGGGGCAACCCGATTTTTGGATGACTGAAGCCGGACGATCGCTGCATTCGTTACTATGTGTAATACTGAAAAAGAAACTAAATCAACAACACATATCAACTATCATACATAGTTGCCAATGACGCATCAGCTGATTAGATAAAACGATCACCTGTCGCGCCACATCACTTGAGACATGCCCAGCTTGTCGATGCCAGTCGTGCTGAGTTGAGGTGCCGGCTGGAGCGGCCGTGGCTCACCCTGCTGGTCGGTGACGTGCTGCTTGCTGATCAGCTGGCGGAGCACCGGCTGGTCCCAGGGGCCGGCCGCCAGCGTCTGCAGCTGGCGCCAGACGGGTTGCAGCGTCGGCAGCTGCAGGGCCGCCTCGGCCCGTCCCAGGGCATCAGTCAGCTCCGTCTGGCGGCCGGCCGGCAGCTCGGCCCACTCGCCATGCAGCAGCAGCTCCAGCGTCAGTCTGGCCGGGGGCGCAGCGGTCAGCAAAACCGGACACACACGCACACGGACACACCCCAGACGGGCAGCCGGCGGCACGCTGGCTGTTCTGTCCATGTTGCGTTGTAATCCGCGGCATGGATGGATGGGGATGACGTTGCAGTCTATCCGGCCTATCACGGCAGGAGGCCTAGATGCAGGTGCAATACAAGTGTGAGCCCCACATCCTCGAAACGTGGCATACGACAGCTATGAATCCGCCCGGAACTGACTGATCGTCACTGGGCAGCACCCTTCGTCCTTGCCTAATTCGCCGTCATTCATAACGCAGACCAACAGACCGAGCAGTCGGGGTCGATGCCATCAGAGAAACAGAGAGCCTCGCGAAAAAAGTAGATTAGTATCCATGAGACCTCATGATTGAAAATAACCCCACTAGGCCAGGTCAACGCGAAATCTTCCTGAAAACGTGGCTCTTTCCGCTTGATATGCTCAAATGTACAGAAGCACTCCCCAGATTGATATGAGCCCTCAACAGGCAAGTTCTTTGTTTAAGTGCAATGGTATGTGGTTGTATGCATGTTAAGCACACATATGTGATGCAGGGCTCTGTTAATACAACAGTGGGGGTCGGCGAAATTGCCGATTGCCGTCTGCCGCCCGCGGCGAGCTAGATCACTGTGCAGTGTTGCTGAAACGCCGCTGGCTTTCAGAGACCATCGAGGCTATGACAACTCTTTTGGTGTCTAAACATGCACAATGGATGCCCCACCAGCTACTGAAAATTTGGGTATGATTACACATATCAAAGAGGCATCCTCATAAAATGTCAGGGGGCAAGGGATCGTCGCATCAATCCCTCCACCCATCTGAGCGAGGGCTAAAGAGCAATTCATCAGCCATGTAGATGCCACTAGACAGTGGATGCTCCTCTAAGCTGAGTTTAATGGACATGTTTTCCCCATGAACTAGTGTTCCAGCTTGCCCTCCTCTGCTAGGGAAATGCAATTTGAAGCCACCTTGACAACATAAAAATTGAGTAGTACAAAGTAGACCATAACCCAAAAAGATAATGGACATAGTATGGAAATCAATGCAATTTCTGAACACAGTACAATAGTGTATCATGAATCAACAGCTCTAAATGGTGATAATTGATAACAAAACATGCACAGGAACACTTTATCACTCAGAACCAACAATCAAAAATATGCTGACAAACAAATCATTGTACTGAGACCCAGGCCAAGCCGCCACTCTTGTATCTATTGCCCCATGGCGTAGTTAGCTTGCGAGACAGCAGGATTGATAAAATATTTTGCATGGTTGTAAACAAACAATCAAGACCAACTGGCACCACTGCTGGGCTGGCATACACAACCTGCTGCTAGTCCCACCTGTGTAAAGGTTCTAGGAAGGAGTCATCTGTGGGAGGCGGACTTGGCAGCTGCAGCTCCGCCACCTGTTGCCATGCTGATATTACAGCACATATCCTATCTGAGTATGATCCATTGGCTTTTGTAGAGCATGCCTCAAGCACCTGCAAAATGTGTCATGTTAATTAATGCATGTGCAATCTGACATCACATCCAGGACTCTGTTAAAGTAATGTTATAATAATGTGCTAGCAATATGGCTTTTGGTGGGTGGTTTGGCACCATATGTAAAATGAAATAAATTATAACAGCCATAATACCCAGATAAAAAATACGAATTCAAATTTTGCTGTTCTTTTTACTGCCACAAGCACTTTGCAATCCCATAAAAAATGATATCTGTATGTGACCAGACACATGAGCACCTCTAACCAATGCTTCAAAAAATGACACATTAAACTGAATATGTCTGGGATCAATTTCAGTGCATGGAAAGACAATGCTTCCCATAATTATGATGTTACAAAGATAGTTTCTGGCAAATTTGCCTTGGAAACCTTGTTTAAACAAATATTTAGAAAATTAAGAGTAATTTAGCCTGGCATAAGTTTGGCACACATAAGGGAGGTATAGTTCACCCTTGTTGCATGTCTTGGTGTCCAGGTTCTTGTGTAGTGCATTTATTTTTTTGTAGACTGACCCAGAGGTATGTGGCTTGATAGTCTAGGTAAAAATAATGTATGTAAAACTAGGAACATGTACAGGAGCACATAGTTCAATCAGAGGCCATGCTGCTCTACCCCTAACCATCTCACAAGTACAAAGTATTTTTGGATATATCTGTATTGATTATCAATCTAATGCATCCAGTACTTTCATCACGTTCCAGGGTAGACTGCAAGAGATACACACTATGCCGAATGTGCCCAGGCGAAGCAGCAGCAATGAGGCCGAAATATCAGAGAATGTACATTGTAAAGCAGAAGACTCAAGAGTTTGGAATATGGTTAACTACTTGATGCCAACTATGTTTGAAGGACATGATAACCAAAAATATTTCTTCAAAATATGGTGAGCATTTAGCCTTATTTGAATTGGCATGCATTCTGCAACCATAAGTAAAAGGATAATGCACTGAAATGGTATTGGCATCCAGCAGATGGATTTCTTGCAGCCTGGGCTCCAGGCATCCATTAGGTAGTTTAAGAACAGTTGTTGTTCCCTTCATCATGAAAATCTGTATAATTTGACCAACACTTATCAATAGTATTAGCAGCTAAACAAAACTGCTCACCATGTCACAACAACCAGTCCTCAATAGTCATCCACTGCACTAGACACCTACTGGACATCTGTGTGCTCAACCTAATGCTTATGCCCACCAAAATCAGGCTAAGCCAAAATGCACAGATATTTCAGTAATTGTTGAGCAAAAAATATGTTAGGGGGCCTGTTTATGTGATAGCAATAGCAACTGTTTTAACAGCAATATCATTTGGTTGCAAATACCATAGCCTCTCTATGTGCCAAAATTGGTGGTGTCCCTACGTGGGACTCTGACAGCATGGATAGGCGGCGAACACGCGCACAAACCGTTCCCGCGATATCACTGCTTAGTCCGGCATGCTCAGCGTAGCATATATTTTTGCAGTTAGCATACATGTACCTACTTCTCGTCCTTAGACGCTGCTGGGCGAGTCAAGCCCTCTAAAGCGCTTACCCAGAGCCCCAGCTACACTTCCAGCCGCCATAAATAGCATATAATCACATACCTTGTCTAGGTCTCGATTAAATGCAGCGCCGCCCGACAACAGCAACGAATTCATTGTGTCACAATGTTCCACACATGCTCATTCCCAGCGGCTTCCCCGCCATCTTGGGCAATTGCGAAGCAGCGAATATTAAGGAATGCTAAATTGAAAGGTACTAAAACACAGCAAAAGGTATTCAACTATAAATATATTCGTTTTCATGGCATTTTACACGACAAAAAAATCCTTTTCTCAGTGTCAAACTAAATACGCATTTGATTTAGCTGTCGAATTAGATAGATAGGAGCAAGGGTTGATACAACAAAACCAAGGTCATAAAATCAGCCAGCTGGACTTGTCTTTTCTATTTTCATTCGGTGGGCGTGCCTGTGTTATGCTGTTCATTTGCGTTGTAGGCAAGACGCTGTGAGTGTGTATTTACCCTACGGATTCGTATATGCAACGTTTAGAGCAGTGTGTTGTTGATTGCATGTATTTTAAGGGTATTTACTGAGGCTGATTCCGAGACCGATACAAGACAGGTGTCAACCGGATTTTGTTATATTGTATGTAACGGTCGATGGTGCGTCTCGGTCATCATGATACCTAAATATATTTGCATGGGTTTTCATTGGATCTAACAAGGTAAAAAAGCACTGTGGCAGGGAAGAGATGAATCAGTTTTGGGTTGTGCTCAGGATTGGGACAGCCATGCAAACATTGTAGTTTTGTATGTGACAGGTCTAACTGACATCATGTAAGCAATTTGTCTTAGTGTATTTTAGATTGGGCACTGGATATCATTTCATAATTGCCTTTTGGTTTACTTTAAATCATTAAGTTGTAGTTCATTTGAGAAGTGAATTATCAGCTGCTTGTTCTGTATATTTGTCATTATTATTTTGTTGTTGGCTTAGTAATTATAATAAAGGTTCGAAGAGTGTATGGTGACTTAACTCCCTCAGAAGTTTTGTGTACACCTAGGGCAATTATTAGGTGTTACAAGACACATGCAAGATCATTAGGAGCATTTGTTCTAGATGGTTAAATATATATTGGGTAATTGTGTATATGTATAGAGTTGGTCTAAAAAATCATGTGTGTAGCTGCAAAGTTACATGTTGTAAAAAGATCCCTTCAGTCCATATACATCTGAAGCACTCCAAATGTTGCCACTTCTACATTGCCTTAGTTTGTAACCTTAAGGATTAGAGCTCAGAATCAAAGCACCATTCTACAGTCCCTGTTCATCAGTTATGTACTATAAAGCTGTCATTTGTATCATGTCTTATGGTTTCTAAGCCTCAAAAAGTATAAAAAGTGGCACCATGAGCCATTGTAGAACTTTATAGGAGGTATGGAATAGAATCATTGGCCAATCTCAGGTCCAGTCCCCTTTCCCTTACTTGGAGAAAAAGGCTAAATATGAGAAGCCCATTTGTTGGTTGTTTTTGGAGGTAAGTTTCATCATTTATCACTGTTCAGCCCTTTCCCCCACCCCCCACCAATTTTGTGGAAGTACACCCCTGGTGACAGTAATAAAATCTTAACTATCATGACCACGTGGGAGGAGTATCTGTTGCGTTCCTTGGAGCCACCAGCAAGAGGATGTAGAGCTTGATAGTGTTTTCCTCACATTACAAACACATGCATATTGTTAGCTCCCACAAAAGTGCAGACTGCCCGGCTTGTGGTAGTGGGGTCTATACCCCTTAACAAAATTGCTAATTAACACAAGCAGCTCTACATCAAAACAAATAGCTGAATGTCTAAGAACTCTTGATAAATGTGTGTGGTTACACTCAGGCTCTACCCTTATGTTTGTTCATGTTGATACAGATCATTTAAGAAATTTGGGGCAGGTACCACAGGGCACCAGACATGCTAGGTTCTAGGAGACAGGCAGATGCCAGGTGCCCTTGGGTGTGACCATTCTCTATTGCCAGGTATCTGAGTTTTTCTAGGGTATGGCCTCTTTGACATCCTTAAGCATTGTGCATGCTTACAGTCCATGCATTTGTTTACAAATCAGGACTTGAGGAAAGTATATGGCAGAAGTGCAGGAAAAGAGTGAAGCTTGCTGCTGAGCCATTTCTGTCTACCTTTTTTACAATTCTGCTTATTGTTGCTCAATCTGGCACGTGATGGTGCTGTTTCACCTTTACTTTGATGCTGAATTGATGCCTGTTTAAGCAGAGTAAAATGGCAGAAGATTCCAATTCAGAAGGCTCTGAACATGAACAACCTGCTCTTGCATATGCATGGGCTGAAGAAGACAATTTTGATGAGGCAATGGACATACCAATGAACACTGAAAGCGAAGAGTCCAACTTTGATCCTGTTTTGGCCACCCAGCATTCAGTAAGCTGACATGCTTTATACCCAGCTGCTAGTATCATGTGGGTTGCATTGCATCATATTTCATAAGAGAGCATGAACAGTGGATTGACCCTAATCATGTCTGGACAAGACATTTCAGCCCAGTGTGGAATCATGATGGCAATGACAGCTGTGTTTATTGCAATATGTGGTGTGTTATTTTAATTGTACCATTTTACCACACCAAGATATGTCTGTCTCTGTGGTGTATTATTTTAATTGCACCATTTTACCACACCAACATATGCTTATCTACTCTGCAGTACTTGGGACACGGTGAGGAAATATATGGCCGCACCGTGCTGGAGGAGGGTAGCTGTGTGGAGCTGCCACTGCTGTACAATCCTTCAGTGATGCTGATGCCTGGTCAGACACTGCCACTTTCCATCTTCCACCCAGCCTCTGTGGCTATGGTGCGCCGTGTCATCGCCTCCAATAAGACATTCGGCTTCATCAACAACAAGTAGGTGATGCTGGGTGTCTGGCCAGCATCGTGGCGTGGCGGACATTGCCGGCGTATCTGTCACGCTCAGCTGTACCTTTTCCATGGTATGTTGTTGCAGATACAGCCATCAGCTGTTTCTGTGCCATATCACTGTAAGATCATTTGAAGGAAATGTTTGGTGTTCAAAGCTGCCAGCAGTTTAGAGATATTTTTGTATGGTTTGAACGTGCTCGCCCGTCATCATGCCTCTAGGAAAGCTGTCCACAGCCGGCCGCGGCCGGTGTCCCACCCCGGCCTGTGTCGCTGTTTGTGTGCGCCCCAGCAGCTGTGTGCGGCCCGCCGGCTCCTCCGAGGCTACGATCGGTGTCACGGCCGAGATCTACGAGGTGAAGGAGGACTCGGAGGACGCGTACACGGGCTTCGCCGTCAAGGCCAAAGGACGCCAGCGATTCGAGGTCGTGAGCACGCGGTCCCAGGTGGACGGGTGAGTAGCTCACCGGGCGGGGCACGGCCATTGCAAACAGCACGAAATTGATCATCTTCCCGCGTACAACGGTGGTGCGCCACGGCATAAAGTGACGCGCGTTTTCCATAATCGATAATGTGTCATCCGTAGTCGCGACGGTGTTGTTCACACTGGTGACTGTGCGCTGCTCTGGCTTCGCGAGATGGTCATTTACAATGATATATTTGCTGTAGGTTGTATGCTTGCGATGCCGTTTGGGTGATTATCGTGGGGCTGACATCGACTGTGCCCTTCCACTCTCCCTTGTGATCGGGCGCTCTTGCCGCGCCGACAGTGTCAAGGTGGGCCTGGTGCGCATCCTGCGGGACGAGCTGCCGGCCGGCCCGTTCGCCTGCTGCCGTGCTGCCTCCGTCTGGCGTCAGCGGCTGGCGGCGCCGGCGGCTCGCTCCGTCACGGCCGGCCCGGGCGGCCTCCACTTGCTGCAGGTGGAGGCGTCGGCGGCCGAGCGGCGCCGCCGCCGCCGCCTGGCGCACCTCGACGCCGCCGTGGTCGGCTGGCCCTCTTGGCTGTATGCACAGTACGAGCTGGCGCCGGCGGCGGCGCGCGTGCGTGCTGACGTGCAACGGTGCCTGCTGTGCGCGCCGGGCGTGGTGCCGGCCGACCCGGCCGAGCTCTCCTACTGGGTGGCCATGAGTCTGCCGCTCGATGACGACGTCAGGTGAGGCAGCGCCACGCTCCGTATCGTGCGGGCCGGCTGGGGACGGGGAACCAAGCGCCAGTTAATATGTCGTACAATACTGGAGCAAACAGCTGCATGTGTGTTTTGTTTTGCTTTTTGTTTTTTTTGAGCGGCGTGTGCCCGTGCGGCGTAGACCGATCTCTGGCCGCGTGTGTGCCAGGGCCCGGTTGCTGCGGCTGTAGACCGACCTCTGGCCGTGTGTGTGCCAGGGCCCGACTGCTGCGGCTGTAGACCGACCTCTGGCCGCGTGTGTGCCAGGGCCCGGCTGCTGCGGCTGTAGACCGACCTCTGGCCGCGTGTGTGCCAGGGCCCGGTTGCTGCGGCTGTAGACCAACCTCTGGCCGTGTGTGTGCCAGGGCCCGACTGCTGCGGCTGTAGACCGACCTCTGGCCGCGTGTGTGCCAGGGCCCGGCTACTGCGGCTGTAGACCGACCTCTGGCCGTGTGTGTGCCAGGGCCCGGCTGCTGCGGCTGTAGACCGATCTCTGGCCGCGTGTGTACCAGGGCCCGGTTGCTGCGGCTGTAGACCGACCTCTGGCCGCGTGTGTGCCAGGGCCCGGTTGCTGCGGCTATAGACCGATCTCTGGCCGTGTGTGTGCCAGGGCCCGGCTGCTGCGGCTGGACTCGGTGGTGAGGCGGCTCCGGTACGAGATCAGCATCATGCGCACGGTGAGCCCGCCCCGACGGCCGTCGACGTCGGCCGATGAAGCCGTCCCTGGAGCACACCCTTGCGCCTGGTTAAGACTGAAAGCCGCTCCCGGCTTGCTCCACCCATTGCAGTCACTCTCTATGGCCCGGATCAACGTATACTTGGGAGCGGCGGGTGCGTGTCCTTCCAAGGTGTCTGGTACGCGGCCGGCCGCCACATTGTTTGCCCCGAACGGTCGGTGACGGGGTCTGTGCCTGTTCGCCCACAGTTCAAAGTGATGGCATGCGCCGACTGTGAGCAGCCGCTGGCCAGCTCGGACGATGTGTTCGCCATGTCGGCCGAGGGTCCTCAGAGCATCTTCGTCAACCCGCACGGTGACCTCCACGAGACTCTAACATTGCACAGGGCCAGCGGCCTACGATGCATCACCCGGCCCTCCACAGAGTACAGCTGGTTCCCCGGGTCAGTTGGCAGAGTACAGCTGGTTCCCTGGGTCAGTTGCCAGAGTACAGCTGGTTCCCCGGGTCAGTTGGCAGAGTACAGCTGGTTCCCCGGGTCAGTTGGCAGAGTACAGCTGGTTCCCCGGGTCAGTTGGCAGAGTACAGCTGGTTCCCTGGGTCAGTTGCCAGAGTACAGCTGGTTCCCCGGGTCACTTCGTGAGACAGCTAGTCTCTGGGCCATTCCATTCAGTATTGAGCGGCTGTTTTCTGGAAGTTCTTGTCTAGTCAAGTGTAATTTAATTGAATTCATTGAAATAAATTCGAGTCCAACCCAAAGGTCAATGACAGACCAGCTGTCCACCCAGCGTCCAAACGATCAGTTTGTCCGAAAAATCTCAATATCATATTTCTGCCAGCAACCAATAACCTCATGCCTACTGGCGTCGCTACATTTCAGCACCCTAATGTACTTGAAGGAAAAAGATGGCCGTGTGTAAATGATGTGTATCTACATTACGTAAGAAGACATCCGTACCGATTTGTGACACTTTAAAATTTATTTGATTCCAAAAATTTTAATCCAACCGGCACCTCCAGTTCAGTGGGGCTTATTCCCGGGTTAGAATGCTCGCATAGATGCCCCTCCCCCCCCCCCCCCCCCCTCCCGCCGGCCAGAGGCGGCTGCAGCTGGATACCTGGGGCGAATGCTGGCGTCAGAAATTTGTGATGTTTTCGCTCATGGTGTGCCGACCTTGTCGCTACAATGTATGCACCGGAACATCTGCTGTTGATATGTGCATGAAAAATGTACACTGTACACGGCAGTCGCATAAGTGGACGTCACACCCCTGTCGGTGTCTGCTTCGGCCGATCTCGGCCCTACCGTGGCCATGCGGGCGCCCTGTAGGGGTCGATGTTATCGCCGCTGCCGTCCGCCGGCTCCAGCTGACGCACCCCGTCTCCTGCGTCCAGCTATGCCTGGGAGATTGCCCACTGCACCCAGTGCAGCAGTCACATGGGCTGGAGGTTCACGGCGTGTCGCGAGTCGCTGCGGCCGACCTCCTTCTGGGGGCTGTGCCGCCGCTCGTTGGCCGTCCGCTCCGGCCCGGTGGCCGGAGCGCCGCCGCCCGACGAGTCCGACGAGCCCGGTCAGATCAAGCTGATCTTCTGAGGCGGCCGAAGGGTGGCCTGCCGAGGCGGCCGGTCATTTGACGGTGGTGTGCCGGGGAAGGGATCGCGGCTCGGGCCGGGAGACCCGTGATCCGGCGAATTCAGGCAGGTCAGGCGGCTTCTCACGGACGTGGCTTCCAAGTGTCGCGGTGGTTTGCGTTACGTCGTACGCATCGGCATGGTGGCGCGCTTCGCCCTGTCAACAGTTTGCCTTTGCGGCGGTGGTAAAGACGTTGCTAGATGGATCTGTTTGCCGACCAGGCGATGGCGATGGCAGGCTGCTGGTGTCGTGTGTCATGCGGAGGGCTGTGAGCTGATCCATGTTGTGATCCGTTTACAGGATGTGATCGGGCTGTATACTCGGGCCGGGGTGTGTGTGTACTTGTCGTGTATCCGCATCCTCCCCAGCCATCGGCAGCCGTTGTAGCGCGCGTGCGGTGCGGCTGCCGGCCCCGGACGGGGTACAGTCGGTTGCGGTGCGGCGCCCTCCATGTCGGTTATGGTGCCTCTGGTGCTCCAGCAGCTCCCGGCACAGCGCTGGGTGTGCTCGGCTGGAACGGGGAACGGCTCACATTGGCACATCTTGCTGGCATAGGTAACTGAGATTCGGATTTTTGCCCTGTGCTTGCGGAGCTTTGAGAAACGTACGGCAGTTTGTTGGGTGCCGAGTTTCCTGCCTGAAGGGCTGTTACTAATAGAATTTGGAAATGCTATGAATATGCCCGCACCCCTAGTTTACTGGAACAGGTTTGTATCCCCACCCCTTCACTACGGATCCCGAAAACTTTTTTTACACATTCAACGCCGAAAACGGCACTTTGCGCTGGCTGGCCGTCATACCAGGATTTCCGGTCATCCATTAGAGAGGAGATTATGCTTTCATGCTTACGTGAAATGCCCGACACCTGCATGGACGTTTGCGCAGTCGGACAGAGGGATATGAGGTGTTATGGCCCGCATTTTACTGGCAAAATGTCGAAAAGCAAGTCTCGTTACATGTAACTGACGGTCACGATCAGCAGTGTTTTGCGGGCGGCATAGAAACGTTGATTTTGTGCATCGACGTTCGGCAGCTGGCTGTCCGCCTGGGCATGTCTTTGTTGGTGTCTTATTGGCAATACGCTTATGCTACGGTAATATACGAGTACATATGTTGGTTTTCCTTGTGCTGGGTTTCTCTGGCGGTGCGAGGCGGCGGCGCGTACCCATGTTGATAATGGTGATTGATAACTTGCCGGCACAGGTGTCGATTTATATTATTTTGAGTGGGTTACACGCCCCCCCCCCCCCCCCCCCCAACGGTGAGTTCGCCTTCGCCCCAACCTTCCGACGCCGAAGTAAAACAGGGTATGAACAATGAGAGATCAACATTACGTTTATTGCAGAGCGGGTTCGTCTAATTGTTTCACATGTTTCACAGATATCTTAGTAAAGCCAGCGCAAGTTGCAACTTCATATTCAGTCGATAGTTTTCTGTTTTCTTCGGCGTGGTGCATGCTAGTCATGCGATTGGCGTGTGTTGTTGACTGTTCTGTTATGCCATTGCGTGTTGTAATTAGCGATGTTTCATGTGCAAACCAGCATGTTGCGTGATTTTGTTTCGAAAGCATGAAATGAAAGCAAACTGCTCGAGATTAGGACCCAAAAAACGCGACCTGGTTACCAGCTGGTTACCTTCGGAGGAATGGTTGGAAACGTGCCGATCTCCACTTGGACGCGAGCGCTCGATGGAACAGCTACGAGAACTTGTCGATCGGCACCAGCTGACCAAACCAAAAGCGGCAATTGCCCGACAGCATGCCTAATCCGAGTGCTGAGTTGCCACTTGCGCCCCGCCTGGCGGCTATCAGCCGGGGAGTCTGTGGCAGCCTTTAATAGTCCCGCACACCAACTTGTACTATTTACCCCCACGGCTGTCCACGTTTCAGAAAGCCCTAAGACGTATATCAGTTTCAGTCCTGAAGCCACATAACAGCTATAGTCATTTTATTTAAGGCGCACCACGTGGTGGTTTGATTTGCGCCTAGTCGTACAGAGAAAACCTACACACCGTACAGGGAGACACACATACGCATAGATACACAGTTTCAGTCAATGAGTCAGCGATCTGAGACAGTGAAGACAGCCTGGCGTGTGGAGGGGGGGGGGGGGGGGGGCGGACGGCCGCCGCGGGCAGCCGGTTCCACGCGGCGGCGGCGCGATACGGAGTGGCGCTGGGTGGCGCTCCGTCGGAGGCATGGCACGTGTAGCGGGTAGACACCGCCAGAAACAGCCTGAGTTTGCCATTGGGAAGACTCGGAGCGTTACGTTACAGGTGGAGCTCGCAGTGCACGGGGAGATGCAGGGACTGTACACATTCAGGCAGTCCCGGTGGTGCACAGAATCCGCGACGCTCTGCCAGCCGAGCGCGTCCAGAACGGGTGGAATGTGATCGCTGCGGCGGACACCACTCACCAGCCTGGCTGCGAAGTGCATCACGCCTTACACCCTGTCTTCACCCCAGATGGACAGGCAGTAGAGGATGTGGGGAAGACGTGGATTTGAAGAAGGCGCTTCAAAACCTCAGGAGTGAAGCGGTGTCGGATTTTGAACAGGGATACGAGGATTGCAATACAGCGCCGAACGAGAGAGGAGGTGTGGGGTTCCTAGGTTAGATGGTGGCCGAGGAGTACACTCAGTACCTTCACTGAAGATAATGGATGAATGTTTGTGTCGGAGATGGCGATGCAGAACCTGCCGGTGTTTTTGATATTGGGCTAGGTGCCCATCAGCATAGCATCGATCTTCTGTTGACTACCGGAACCTGGCTCCAAAGGTCGACGCCAAGCAAAATAATAATGATGCCCAACGTCAACATTTTCCGCCAAGAAACAACGACGAAACGTATTAGAGCTGTGATGTAGTTTCCTGTTCGGTTGGAGGGGGGGGGGGGGGGGGTATCTCCAACTTCATGACGTTGAGTGAATTTGGGGAGAAGCCTGTTTGGTGTATGTTGGTTAGGTTTTCCCCTCTCAGTCCCCCAGACATATTTTGCGAAATAACGTCCCCGTGGTGGAGGCAGATTCACCACCAGATTATTGTAGCGCCTCATCTGGGGCACGGGCTCATTTTCCACGTAACCATAAGGTTGTGCCCACGATTTACATCGGCCGGGTCCCTGAATCAATGAGGGCCCTCTCTTTCGGTATGTGGATTGCAGCGTCTGACAAGGGTCCGGTATTGGCAAGGGGCCCCAAATCGGTCCGGAATACTGTTCGTGCGGTCTCACGGAGGGTCCTGCAATGCCCCTCGACACCGACGATTAAGTGTCAATTGGAGGGCACGAAGAGCTGTCAGTAAGTCACATTACGGACCCCGAACCACAGGGCTGGTCCCCCAGTAACAGTCAGGGCCTCTTGCACCGATGTGAAATGGCCTGGAACAATGGGCGGGTCTCTACATCAGTTAGAGCACCAACTTCGAACAATAGCAGTCAGGGCCTCTTGCACCGATGTGAAATGGCCTGGAACAATGGGCGGGTCTCTACATCAGTTAGAGCACCAACTTCGAACAATAGCAGTCAGGGCCTCTTGCACCGGTGTGAAATGGCCTGGAACAATGGGCGGGTCTCTACATCAGCTAGAGCACCAACTTCGAACAATAGCAGTCAGGGCCTCTTGCACCGGTGTGAAATGGCCTGGAACAATGGGCGGGTCTCTACATCAGCTAGAGCACCAACTTCGAACAATTGGCTCCGTGTCGGCTGGAACCCGGGGACCCATTCCCTAGGCAGAGACAAGGTCGGGACCCGCGATTTGTATTGGTCGGGACCCCTGAAACAATGCGTACTGCTGTGTCGGTCACGTCCCCACAGTGCAGACGGAGCGCTCCTTGTAAGTAATGGGTCTTGAGTCGGCCAGGGTAACATTTGCTGAACAGTGGTCGGGGACGAGACCCCGAATGCTTAAGGGCCTATTGTGTTGGTTGATCCCGGCGCGCCCTAAAACAAACTCACCACCACCACAGACCCTCTGACAACGAAAGTGGATGTGAGAGATTACGACGAGAGACCAAAAGAAGGCAATAAAAGGCCCAGTGACAGTGAGGAACCCCAGTTCAGAACGAAGACCTTTTCATCCCGTTTCACCCAGGGGACCGTTTTGCCGAATTGGAGTCTCAGTGAGGGATCTTTGCACGTCAATGGGGGGTGGGGGGGGGGGGGAGCTCCTGCGTCTGTCAGGGGCCAAATGCTCGGTTCGGGGGCTCGGGCGTCAGGCAGGAGACAGATATATGACTGATCACTCCAAGGGCTTCCGTATCGATCTGGAAACCCTGCCCCGAGACCCTGGAAACCCTGCCCCGAGTCGCCAGCAAGACAGCCGTCAGGCACTCCGCACTGAAACGGAATGAAGTCCACGCTGACCTCTGACCGGGCAATATAATGCACCCCCAGCGCTCTACCAACTGGCCCCTTACCCCGAAAAGGTATGGGTTTCTTATGTTTTTGATGGAGCAGATCGAGATGAGGCTTGAAATGAAAAAAGGCCGGCACAACTGAGGACACTAATTCTTATCCGAGTCAACATGTGAAACAGGGTACTTAAACTTTGTTTTGCCTGCGTGCTCGTTATCTTAGAAAGAAGAACATCAATGGCCGGAGTTGCAGATTCCATCCAACCTGGCGGCGTCAGACGCTGCAGCTGACGCCGGGTGGCGGGTACCTGGTGCGCGAGAACAGCAGTCGTGAGATAACGCTTCCAAAAGTTTTTCTTCTAAATCAATACGCACGTTTCAACGTATAGGTTTAGGCATATATTTCAACTGCATAACTTTGAGATGTTCTCTGAGCGGCTTAGCAGCGGCAGCAACCTTAATACAGAGATTCTACCATAACTCGTCTAGTCCCATGACCTGATTGCAGAACCCGTCTAATGTGATGCGAATGCTAATGATTCATATTATGAGTCTAAAAACTGTTGAGGTGAAACGTGTTCGCGGGTTACTTTCTAGACGCATAAATTGACATACTCAAGCGTTAAAACGTGCCTTTTGGGAAACGATGCCGTCTTTGTCGGCATCGTTTTTTTTTTTCTTTGCCCGCTAGTCTCCGCCTAGTATTAACCACAGAACCGTCGCCGCGCGGCCTACTGAGACTGCAACGCCGGACATCAGGGTTGCTGTTTAAAGCTTGCGAGCGCACATGGTCAAAAGCATGTGATGCATTTCTTTTGCAACTGAGTTCTGGAAACGATTGTAGATTCCCAGACGCACAGGGATTGGGCATGTCAAAGCAAATACACTACTCCATTTCGATCTACAATCTACGTTAGCTATCATCTACGTTTACAGTGTCTATGTACAACACACCAAAAAATCTGCTGAAGCCCCTGAGTGTTGTCACTCAGAAAGAGTCCACTGAACAAGTGAAGAATGAAAGACGACGGTGTTTTTCCCTGTCATCATTTAAGGCCTGGTTTCTTCACCCTCTTGACTTCAAAATCCGAACAGAAATATCACCCAAATATTGCCGGTCAATTCGAAAACTATAAGCATCAAAATATTCACAAGCGCAAGCGCAGAGCGTCCGTCAAAAAGCTCTGACATCTCAAGGTCACCCTTCAACGTCAAACACGGTTTAAAGGATGGGGAACTAACTCGATATCATCCAAAAATTACCGGCCGATTTGAAACTTGCCAATGTCAGAATATTCAACACATAAAGAACTAGCGTCCGTCAGAAATTCATGAACTCTCAATGTCACCCTTCAAGGTCAAACGCGGGCTCAAAGGACGAGGAACTCCGTATCACCCGAAAATTACCAAGCGGTTTTCAACTTACAAACATCAGAGTACTCACCACAGAAAGAACTAGTGTTTTTTAAAAATTCTTGACCTTTCAAGGTCATTCTTGAAGGTCAAACGGGCTCAAGGGACAGGGAACACAGTATCACTCAAAAATTACTGCCCGACTTCCAACTTGTGTGTGTCATGTCATTGGGGCTTTACGACGCATTCAGCTGCTGAGGCTTTGTGGCGTCGCCTGCATCTTACCCTGACCGGAAAGGCAGGCACCGTGGGGAATCGAACTCCGTACCTCTGGTCTCCCAGACGCGCATTGGTTAACACGGATGCATTAACCACTACATTACCGGCACCCCGATTTTCAGCTGACAGACATCA